AAAAGTCATAGTATAGTAAGGCATAAAAAGTCATAGTATAGTGAGGCATAAAAAGTCATAAAAAAGTCATAGTATAGTAAGGTATAAAAAGTGCCAATATAGTAAGGCATAAAAAGTCATAGTATTGTAAGGCATAAAAAGTCATAGTATAGTAAGGCATAAAAAGTCATAGTATAGTGAGGCATAAAAAGTCATAAAAAAGTCATAGTATAGTAAGGTATAAAAAGTGCCAATATAGTAAGGCATAAAAAGTCATAGTATTGTAAGGCATAAAAAGTCATAGTATAGTAAGGCATAAAAAGTCATAGTATAGTGAGGCATAAAAAGTCATAAAAAAGTCATAGTATAGTAAGGTATAAAAAGTGCCAATATAGTAAGGCATAAAAAGTCATAGTATTGTAAGGCATAAAAAGTCATAGTATAGTAAGGCATAAAAAGTCATAGTATAGTGAGGCATAAAAAGTCATAAAAAAGTCATAGTATAGTAAGGTATAAAAAGTGCCAATATAGTAAGGCATAAAAAGTCATAGTATTGTAAGGCATAAAAAGTCATAGTATAGTAAGGCATAAAAAGTCATAGTATAGTGAGGCATAAAAAGTCATAAAAAAGTCATAGTATAGTAAGGTATAAAAAGTCCGAATATAGTAAAGCATAAAAAGTCATAAAAAAGTCATAGAATAGTAAGGCATAAAAAGTCATAGTATAGTAAGGCATAAAAGCATAAAAAGTCCCAATATAGTAAGGCATAAAAGCATAAAAAGTCCCAATATAGTAAGGCATAAAAGCATAAAAAGTCCCAATATAGTAAGGCATAAAAGCATAAAAAGTCCCAATATAGTAAGGCATAAAAGCATAAAAAGTCCCAATATAGTAAGGCATAAAAGCATAAAAAGTCCCAATATAGTAAGGCATAAAAGCATAAAAAGTCCCAATATAGTAAGGCATAAAAGCATAAAAAGTCCCAATATAGTAAGGCATAAAAGCATAAAAAGTCCCAATATAGTAAGGCATAAAAGCATAAAAAGTCCCAATATAGTAAGGCATAAAAAGTCATAAAAACGACATAGTATAGTAAGGCGTAAAAAGTCCCAATATAGAAAAGCAGAAAAACTCATAAAAAAGTCACAGTATTGTAAGAAAAAAACTCATAAAAACAACAGTATAATAAGGCATAAAAAGTCATAAAAATGACACAGTATAATCAGGCATAAAAGTCCCAATATAGTAAGGCATAAAAAGTCATAAAAACGACATAATGTAGGAAGGCATAAAAAGTCATAGTATATTAAGGCATAAAAAGTCATATTATAGCAAGGCATAAAAACTCATAGTATAGTAAGGCATAAAAAGTAATAAAAAAGTCATAGGATAGTAAGGCATAAAAAGTCATTTCATAGTAAGGCATAAAAAGTCATAAAAAAGTCATAGTATAGTAAGGCATAAAAAGTCATAAAAATGACATAATATAGTCAGGCATAAAAAGTCATAGTATAGTCAGGCATAAAAAGTCATAAAAACGACATAGTATAGTGAGGCATAAAAAGTCATAAAAAAGTCATATTATAGTAAGGCATAAAAAGTCATAAAAATGACATAGTATGGTCAGGCATAAAAAGTCCCAATATAGTAAGGCATGAAAAGTCATAAAAAAGTCATAGTATAGTAAGGTGTAAAAAGTCATAAAAGAGTCATAGTATAGTAAGGCATAAAAAGTCATAAAAATGACATAATATAGTCAGGCATAAAAAGTCCCAATATAGTAAGGCATAAAAAGTCATAAAAACGACATAGTATAGTAAGGCATAAAAAGTCATAAAAAGTCATAGTATAGTAAGGCATAAAAAGTTATAATAACGACATAGTATAGTACGGCATAAAAAGTCATAAAAGAGTCATAGTATAGTAAAGCATAAAAAGTCATAAAAAAGTCATAGAATAATAAGGTATAAAAAGTCCCAATATAGTAAGGCATAAAAAGTCATAGTATAGTAAGGCATAAAAAGTAATAAAAAAGTCATAGGATAGTAAGGCATAAAAAGTCATTTCATAGTAAGGCATTAAAAGTCATAGTATAGTAAGGCATAAAAAGTCATAAAAAAGTCATAGTATAGTAAGGCATAAAAAGTCATAAAAATGACATAATATAGTCAGGCATAAAAAGTCATAGTATAGTCAGGCATAAAAAGTCATAAAAACGACATAGTATAGTAAGGCATAAAAAGTCATAAAAAAGTCATATTATAGTAAGGCATAAAAAGTCATAAAAATGACATAATATAGTCAGGCATAAAAAGTCATAGTATAGTCAGGCATAAAAAGTCATAAAAACGACATAGTATAGTGAGGCATAAAAAGTCATAAAAAAGTCATATTATAGTAAGGCATAAAAAGTCATAAAAATGACATAGTATGGTCAGGCATAAAAAGTCCCAATATAGTAAGGCATGAAAAGTCATACAAAAGTCATAGTATAGTAAGGTGTAAAAAGTCATAAAAGAGTCATAGTATAGTAAGGCATAAAAAGTCATAAAAATGACATAATATAGTCAGGCATAAAAAGTCCCAATATAGTAAGGCATAAAAAGTCATAAAAACGACATAGTATAGTAAGGCATAAAAAGTCATAAAAAGTCATAGTATAGTAAGGCATAAAAAGTTATAATAACGACATAGTATAGTACGGCATAAAAAGTCATAAAAGAGTCATAGTATAGTAAAGCATAAAAAGTCATAAAAAAGTCATAGAATAATAAGGTATAAAAAGTCCCAATATAGTAAGGCATAAAAAGTCATAGTATAGTAAGGCATAAAAAGTAATAAAAAAGTCATAGGATAGTAAGGCATAAAAAGTCATTTCATAGTAAGGCATTAAAAGTCATAGTATAGTAAGGCATAAAAAGTCATAAAAATGACATAGTATAGTAAGGCATAAAAAGTCAGTATATTAAGGCATAAAAAGTCATAAAAAGTCATTGTATAGTAAGGAATTAAAAGTCATAAAAACGTCATAGTATAGTAAGGCATAAAAAGTCATAGTATAGTAAGGCATAAAAAGTCATAAAAACGACATAGTATAGTAAGGCATAAAAAGTCCTAGTATAGTAAGGCATAAAAAGTCATAAAAAGTCATTGTATAGTAAGGCATAAAAAGTCATAAAAAAGTCATAGTATAGTAAGGCATAAGAAGTCATAAAAACGACATAGTATTATAAGGCATAAAAAGTCATAAAAAAGACATTGTATAGTAACGCATAAAAAGTCATAAAAACGACATAGTATAGTAAGGCATAAAAAGTCCTAAAAATATCATAGTATCCTGAGGCATATAAAGTCATACTACAGTAAGGTGAAAAAAGTCATAGTATAATGAAGCATAAAAGTCAGTAAATCAAGTTATGAAAAGTCACAAAAAAACGACATAGTAAGGCATAAAAACCAACATAGTATAGTAAAGCATAAAAATGTTATAGTATAGTAAGGCATAAAAGTCATTGCATGCATGTAATTTTGACTTTATAAAAATAAGTGATGTGTGATTACATATATTTAGAGTCCCAAGGATGGAGAATGATCTCAGGAGCCCTGACAAAGAAGGAGTTACATCTAAGAGGCCCTGCAGACCTGAATATGTCCAGATATCCAGATCTCCAACATCACCTTGTCACATGCATGGGAGAGCAAACGACCATACAAGCAGTCAAACTTTTGGTACCCCTACTTCTTTCATCTTTTGGTTCAGAGGAAATCGTCTTTTCAGTAAAGCATAAAAAGTCATAAAAAAGTCATAATATAGTGAGGTATAAAAAGTCATAGAAAAGTGGTAGTATACTTAGGCATAAAACATCATAACAACGAAATAATATAGTAAGGCATAAAAAGTCATAAAAATAACATAACATAATACGGTGTAAAAATTAAAGAATTTTGTAGTAAGGCTTAAAAAGACATAAAAAAAAGTCACAGTATAGCAAGGCAGAAAACTGACATAGTATATTAAGGCATAAAAAGTCATAAAAACAACATAGTATAGCAAGGCATAAAACTCACATAGTATAGTAAGGTACGGAAAGTCATAAAAATGACAGCATAGTATTGCATAAAAAGTCGTAAAAACGTCATTGTATAATAAGGAATAATAAGTCATAAAAACGACAGTATATTGACGCATAAAAACAACATAGTTTTCCAAGGTATAAAAAGTAACAAAAATGACATAGTATAGTAAGGTATGAAAAGTCATACAATGTCATAGTCTCATAAAGTATACAAACGATATAAGGTATACAAAAGTCATAGTAAGGTATAAAAATACAGCTTCCAGTCCAGATGGTGTTGCAATGGGTGCGTGGATGAAGCAGAGTCCAGAGTCTTGAAGTCTGAAGGCTTAGCGAGTGGCTAGGACAGTTTCCCAACGATTGCTGACACTTCTTCCAGCATCCACCTCTCTGCCACCATCTCTGCTATGTCCAGTTTTCTGGTTCATTATTAAGACTTTTATTAAGAGTAATTAGTAGTTTTATTTTCTTTTTTGATTTCCTTTGCACATCTTGTTGTAACTGTTGTTTATCTAGTGTCCTCTTTTGGTTTTAGTTGGTTCTTTGTTTTAAACATCCATTTGCCCTGTTTCCCCTTTTAGTTTATCTCATTTATTATGTCTACCACTTGTCAAAGCTTCTTCGAAACAAATAACTTTGTTTGACCAACTTTATCACATTTCTTTATCATGTGGTTGCTTCCTTTTTCCCCAAACAAGCTGGGTGGCAACATTAAGTCATACTACAACAGGTCATTTTATAATAAGTATAGACATCTTGTCTTCAAGACAACTGTAGACCACAGCAAACTCACTCAGTAGGTGGGCGGAGGCATATTGTAGTTTAGTAAGTCACAGTACAGTAAGACATAGTATAGTAAGATATATTAAGTCATAGTATATTAGGTCATAGTATGGTAAGTCAGGAAGAAGATGCTGATTGGATGTGAAATCAGGCAAACATAATGTTTTTGACAAACTTTATTTATGACAAACTTTAAAAGCTAAATTAAACATCATCCTCACACAGACACATGAAATCTGTTGCTTAATCCACAATGAATTCTAGTTCATCACTGTTTTGATGGTGGAGTATCATCTCTGGGCGGACTGAAGGAGTCAATCTCTTTGACAATCCTTTCAGCAATGGCTCTCCTGTTGGCAGCAACGATTCTCCGGGACATCAGGTCCACCCCTCCTCCTGAACACAGATACAGTTAGCAGACTGCCATAATACCAAAATCTAGAGCTGACTCTGATCATTACTGAACTGCTGTTGGAACATCTTTACCTTCCACATCCATCAGGACTCCTCCGGCCTCGGAGACGATCAACGAGCCAGCAGCAACATCCCAAATATGGATCCCGATCTCATAATACGCTTCCACACAACCTGACGCAACCAGACACATGTTGATTGCTGCACTTCCTGCACCACGCACACTGGAAACATACATATAGTGTTAATGATGCATTTATATTACAAAATCATTTGTATGAATACAAAAGTAAGTATCAGGACCACTACCCATGTACAGGGATGCAAAGGATGTTTCTCAGACTGGAGAAGATTTTGTCAACAGCTTCAGGTTCTCTGCTGGATCCAAACTCTGTGGCGATAATTGACTGTTTGATGTCTGACAAACAAAAAGAATCACTGTTCAAAGGTCAGATCTTTGTTCTCTGATTAGATCAGAGCATCGAGATATTATTGCACTTTATATTCAGACATCAATACTTTAACCAGAGTAATTTGTCTAGTTCGAATGTATTTCTTCAATATTCTCCTTCATATTCAGATCTTTTTACACATTTGATCACATTTGCACCACTCTGTCGTTGCCTTTGAGCAGTGGATTTAAATTCAATTGGATTTACTGATAATGATGGTCGCGAGCCCTGACTAGTGGTGATGAGTAAATATTTTTTGTTGGTTAATTGATTACAGACCTTCCTGATCAGAAACCTTCAATGGCTCTCCATTACAAAACGCTCCCTTGCCCCTCCTTGCTGTAAACATCTTGTCTTCAAGACAACTGTAGACCACACCAAACTCACTCTGTAGGAGGGCGGAGACATATTATAGTGTAGGAAGACATAGTATTGTAGGTCATACTAAGTCATGGGATATTAAGTCAGTTGAACTCTGACCTGTTTGTTGACAGAGAACCCAATGGAAACAGCAACAAAAGGAAATCTGTTAGAGACATTAAAGTTATTAATGGGAGTTATTAAAGGTCATTGTGATCTAATTATTAACATGGACTGTGTCTTCATTATAAAGTCTCCAGTGTGGTGGGGATTATTGAACAGCGACTCTGTTCTCTATTTAATGTTTTAAATGTCATATTCAAAACTAAACTCTGTTCACCTATGTGAGTTTGAGGTGAAATAGAGATGAAACGATCTGCTGGAACCATCAGAGGAACAGAGAGGACATGTTGACGTCTTGTGGGTGAACTAACCCTTTAAACTGTAATGACAGTTTTCATTTAACGTTGAGACAGTTAAAACATGATGAAGTCACTTCTAGTGAACTGAAGTGATGTTGTCAGTCTGTGTTTGATAAGAACTGTTATGATAATGATGATGATGATGATTTCAGTGTGTCACTAAGAAAGTGTTGAATTAAATAACTCACGCATGAACAAAGTTGGTGGTCCCATCGATGGGGTCGATGATCCATGTGGGACTGTCTGTGAGGTCACAAGCTTCACCTGCAGCCACTGACTCCTCCCCTATGAACCTGACACACACATTACCTGATCGGTGAATAAACACACAGAAACACACACCTCCTCACATTGCCTCAGTGTGTGAAAAGCTGAGTTGGTTCCACTCAAGACAAGAACAGTGCTGCTGATAATTCCGATCATGATTTGGGATTATACAGATTATGATCACAAAATACTATACATCGGAGATTGCTGTGATTTCTGTTGATTAAAACAAACCTGTTCTCTGGTTGTATAAATGAAAAATATTGTGTCGAAACACTGAATGACTCAGGTGATTGTTCTTAGGGTTCAGCTGGTTTCAGAACAGGAGAGAATATCGACTCCAACCTTTGATCAAAACTTTGAAGATTTCACCAAAGTTACAAAAGTTCAGAATAACAATCAGAAAACCGAGAATATAACATGTTAATAATTTACACATTTATATTGACATGTATCAGTTCGATATCTATATGAGCTGTTTGTTGGGACTGTTTAGTTTCTGATAAGAAAACTTTATTAACATGAATGTGTCTTCACTTCATGTTTCAGGTTGTGAATTTCTCCGTTCTCTTTTTCAATTTGTTGCCAAGCCATATCTTCAGAGTCAGAACCATGTCACATGGACTAGAGAGATTTTTCCAGACTGACCATCTTAGAATTGCTTCATACTTTATGCAAATAATGTCAATGTGGCCAATATCTAGTGTGCACAATGTTTACGAGGCTTTAAATGGGTTGTGCTCCTAAGAAACGAGTGTCACTAAACATTTCCATAAATCACTACTTATCATGCCACATGCTTGAAATTTTCAGGGATTGTTCTCATCCATCCCTCCATCCATCCATCTTCCATCCCTCCATCCATCTTCCCCCCCTCCATCCATCCATCTTCCCTCCCTCCATCCATCCATCTTCCCTCCCTCCATCCATCCATCTTCCCTCCCTCCATCCATCCATCTTCCCTCCCTCCATCCATCCATCTTCCCTCCCTCCATCCATCCATCTTCCCTCCCTCCATCCATCCATCTTCCCTCCCTCCATCCATCCATCTTCCCTCCCTCCATCCATCCATCTTCCCTCCCTCCATCCATCCATCTTCCCTCCCTCCATCCATCCATCTTCCCTCCCTCCATCCATCCATCTTCCCTCCCTCCATCCATCCATCTTCCCTCCCTCCATCCATCCATCTTCCCTCCCTCCATCCATCCATCTTCCCTCCCTCCATCCATCCATCTTCCCTCCCTCCATCCATCCATCTTCCCTCCCTCCATCCATCCATCTTCCCTCCCTCCATCCATCCATCTTCCCTCCCTCCATCCATCCATCTTCCCTCCCTCCATCCATCCATCTTCCCTCCCTCCATCCATCCATCTTCCCTCCCTCCATCCATCCATCTTCCCTCCCTCCATCCATCCATCTTCCCTCCCTCCATCCATCCATCTTCCCTCCCTCCATCCATCCATCTTCCCTCCCTCCATCCATCCATCTTCCCTCCCTCCATCCATCCATCTTCCCTCCCTCCATCCATCCATCTTCCCTCCCTCCATCCATCCATCTTCCCTCCCTCCATCCATCCATCTTCCCTCCCTCCATCCATCCATCTTCCCTCCCTCCATCCATCCATCTTCCCTCCCTCCATCCATCCATCTTCCCTCCCTCCATCCATCCATCTTCCCTCCCTCCATCCATCCATCTTCCCTCCCTCCATCCATCCATCTTCCCTCCCTCCATCCATCCATCTTCCCTCCCTCCATCCATCCATCTTCCCTCCCTCCATCCATCCATCTTCCCTCCCTCCATCCATCCATCTTCCCTCCCTCCATCCATCCATCTTCCCTCCCTCCATCCATCCATCTTCCCTCCCTCCATCCATCCATCTTCCCTCCCTCCATCCATCCATCTTCCCTCCCTCCATCCATCCATCTTCCATCCCTCCATCCATCTTCCACCCCTCCATCCATCCATCCAGCCCTCCATCTTCCATCCATCCATCCACCCCTCCATCCATCCATCCATCCATCTTCCATCTTCCATCCAGCCCTCCCTCCATCCATCCATCTTCCATCCCTCCATCCATCTTCCATCCCTCCATCCATCTTCCATCCAATTATCCATCTTCCATCCATCCATCAGCCCTCCAGCTCTCCATCTTCTATTAATCCCTCCATCTTACATCCATCCATCCATCCATCCATCTTACATCCATCCATCCATCCATCCCTCCATCTTCCATCCATCCATCCATCCCTCCATCTTCCATCCCTCCATCCATCCATCCATCTTCCATCCATCCAGCCCTCCATCCATCCCTCCATCTTCCATCCATCCATCTTCCATCCATCCATCCCTCCATCTTCCATTCTTCCATCCCTCCATCCATCCATCCGTCCGTCCATCCCTCCATCCATCCATCCAGCCCTCCATCCATCCCTCCATCCATCTTCCATTCCTCCATCCATCCATCCATCCGTCCATCCATCCCTCCATCCATCCATCCATCCATCCCTCCATCTTCCATCCATCTGTCTATCCATCCCAAAGAAGCAGCTTCTCCGAGCTCCCACCGTCTCTAAGGCTGATCCCACTCAAGTTCAAATCAGGCAGGCTGTTCCTCCTAATCTGCCCCCGGCATCCGTCACACCCCGACTCCATGCCTGTCCCTGCAGGTGGTGGGCCCACAGGGAGGCGCCAAACCAGGCCCCAAGAGGGATTGTTGTACACTATTAAATGTCTTTAACTTTTAAAATGGTCGGCCTATTTGACAAATTATTCTTTTGTGTTTTGGAGCCCACTACATCTTCACACTGATCCACACCAGATCTTTTATATATACAACTCATGTAATAAATATATAAATCTATATAACTAATGTTATAGTCCTGTCTACAGTCCTAGGTGTGTAAAGAAATGAAAATTAGTGATTCATGAGGCGTTGAAAATGTAAAAAAAAAGATTTACATCAAGTATGAAGCAAAAGCAAGATTATAGGTCGGGAGCCTGTATTGATCTATGAAGCTGATTCATTATCAGTCACGCACATGCTGAGGGAGGCGGAGCTTCCTACCTGTGTGTAGGGAATTTCTCCTTCACTGATTGGATGATGAGTTGCTCGACCTTCTGGTCAGTTTGTGTCACCAAATCGACTGACGAACTCTTAGTCATGACCTTCATGTCGTCACGCAGAGCGTCACGCACCACCTGATAAACACAGATCAATACTCATGATCAACACACATGATCAATACACCCGATTAATGTATCACCTTATCATTACATGAATCAATCAATCACCTGATTAATACACAAAATAATGTGCCTAATCAACTCATATGGTACAGGGTGGACGATGACAACATAATCACACTTTTAGCAAAATTCAGTATTCAATAATCGATTTTTAATGTTCAGTACTACTTCATTAATGACAGTTTGCAGACAGATGTTCCGGTCTTATACAGGACAAAGAACCTGAAGCTCAGATCCTTTGATTATGGGTTAGGGTTAGGATATCTATATCACATGACAGTTGCAGGATCGAACCTGTGGGCTTTCAGTGACCTGACGCAGTCGTTGTTGCCTGAACCTAAAACAGACTGAACAATACGTCTCCTGTGCTGGATGTAGTCATCCACCGCAACTTCCTCAAACCTGTCTGAATCCTCCAGCCTGTGAACCAGCTGCACTCTCACCACCTCAGCTCTATTCTTAGCATGTTCTTAGCATGTTCTTAGCATGTTCTTAGCATGCCATGTTGCTCCATCTGACCTGAATACTGCGTGCTGATTAGCTATGGGATTTTATTGGTTTGTGTTCAAGAGCAGCACTGACACTCGTTTCCTGTCTGTAGCTGTTACTCTTTGATAAAAGGAGGCTTTTAATCTGAAATCTGTGTTTTCTGGAAGACACTGGAAAAAACTCTCTCACACACACACACACAATTAACTGACCTCTCCAGCTTTTCGTGCAATGGCGACGGCGTAGTCCATGGCGTTCTGCCAGAGGTCAGCCATGTTGGAGAAGAAGCTCCTTATACAGAGAGAAGTCAGGGAGATTAAACAGGACTTTCAAAAGGTTAATGAGTTTTTATAATGAAGCAGAGGATAATTAAAAAGACAAAATGAACTTTTCACTTGTGTTACACTGATTCTGACTGTGTTGTCTCCAGTTCTGTCACAGAAACAGATAAAGACCCATTTCTATGTCTATTTTCAAAACGTTTCAAGATCTTAATTTTTTTCTCTAATTCACAAACTTTCAAGAAGGTTTTCAAACCGTATTTATGATGCAGAAACATTTTTTAAAACCAACCCTTTAATAAATCGGAGCTTAAATATGAAAAGAAATATAAAAAACCATGGACATTAGAGTCTGGCAGTGACAGCAAGTGACCGCTGGAGGGCGCAGCTGACAGCTGTCAGCAGCCTCTACAACTTTTTATCATCATTTGTTTTATTAATCAATATTGAATATTGATTGGCAGATTGGCAATAAGCCGTATTAACAGACACTAGGTGATGACGTGTCAGAGAGACATAAACCCGGCGTGCTGTGGCGCAGTTGTCTTTCTGAACGAAGAGGCCTTAAAACAGCAGAGTTGTGAACGTAGTCTGGTACCGGATGTCAAAGTCAGTTAGCGCCGTTAAACTCGTGAGTTAAAGACGGAGGAGCGGCCGCTTCCACTAGAACAAACGTCGTTCAACGATACTAAAACACAACAACGTTCAACGTTAATCTCACCTGCTAAAGTTCACCTGAGCTCGGTCTGATGACTATCCGCTGCTGCTGCTGCGGGTCAGCGGCTTCACCCACTTCCGGGTTTCTTCTTCTTCTTTGGATCAGAGCCGCAGCTGAGTGGCCACTGTAGGTGATTCAGTAGAACTACTTCTCCCTGCAATAAACCTGTCACAGACTGCTGAGGCTCCTCCTCCTCATTTCACAGACCCCACCCACACCCACCACTCGGGATTACTGTCATCTGATTAATCAGAAGAGAAAATGCTGTTGATTCATACAACAGATGTACATTTTACTTTATTTCATTAAACTTCAGAGAAAGTCCAGAACAAATTTCACACTGTGGACCACCAGAAATCTGGTCTGTAGAGATCTGTTCAGGTCCAGGATCAGAAACCTGTTCACACGTTCCTGTTGGTTTGATACAGACTGGAATAAAACTGTGACTCAGACCTTTAATCAGTAGAACGTTCAGAATGGAACCTTTAAAAAACAAACAACACATTCAGTCTGGTTCGTTTACACAGTTACACAATACGTTTATCTCAGTTTATCTCAATTTTACTCATTTTATCTCCCTCTGTGTGTCTGTGTTAATGCGCATGTGTGTGTGTGTGTGTGTGTGTGTGTGTGTGTGTGTGTGTGTGTGTGTTATTGTGTGCCTATGACTGTGGTTTGTAAAAATGTTTCAAAGTCTACAGACAGAGAAATTAAATGGCAGAGATGATGATGATGATGATGATGAACAGCCTTCATGTTTTACAACAGTTTTACAGCACGTCGCTTGACGTCTCCATAGACACAGCCCAGCATGGCTAGTGCTAGCGGTACAGACAATCTACTACTGCTGAAACCAGTTTGTTTGAGCATTTGAAGCAGTTTTATGAACATTGAGACTCAGACAGATTATATTTATATACGGTTAACCCTAACCCTAATCCCAACACTGACTTCACACAGTATAAACTGAATATCTGCCTGGTTTTAACATGAATGTTTACATTGAAAGAACTACTGCTAAAATTAGCAAACTAGTATTAGTATGCCAACATTAGCATGCTAACATTTGAAAGTATGTATACCGTGTATATCTGGTCTGTTTAATCATAACATGAACTAAAATACATTCCACATAAAAAGGTACCTCAAAGTACACAACCTAATGCTAATGATGTTATGCTAAGCTAAATGATAAACGAATGTTGGTTAGGTTAGTGTTGAATAATTATTTGTTTTTTTTAGTCGTTTTTACAGTGAAGAACAGAAGCAACAGAAGAAGAAGAGACGTGATGATGTCACAGTTCTAAGGTTTTATTTGTGGTTTTAAATCAGAAACACCTCCATCACACTTTCTGTCAGCTGACCTACATGCTGTTCACATCTGTCACTCCACAGATACACCTGCAGGGATCCTCATCGTCACGGCGACAGGGAAACACCTGGATCACCTGTGCGATGTTTCTGGCCACAGCAGAGGAGCTGGCAGCGATGACTCTCCTGGACATCATATCAAACTCTGAGCCTGAGGACACACACACTGACCAATCAGAGAGGGCCACACAGGTGAGGTATGATATCACAGGTACACACAGGTCAGAGGTGACATTGCATGTCAGATACAGACCATCCGTATCCATGACAACGCCTCCAGCTTCCTGGACAATGATGGTGGACGCGGCGATGTCCCAGCAGTGCATCCCAATGTGATAGTAGGCGTCTGCTCCACCTGTCGCCACCTGACACATGTCGACCGCTGCTGTGCCCAACGCACGGACCCTGAAACACGCCAAGTACATAAAAAGAAAATGTCAAACCCAGCCCACCTGGCAGACACATGATGATGATGACCTGCTCAGTACATCCTGATGGAACCTCTTTGATCATAGAACTCAGAAGAAGCTGTAAAACGCTGAGAGGCTGAACTGTGTCAGATTCATTACCAGTGTTACAGGTAAGTGTTTTAATGACTACACCTAATGTAACTTATTACCTTTAATTACTTTTCAGTATCATTCATTCAGTGTGATGGTTTTCTGTAGAACCCCATGACGTCTCCATGTTCATGTTCCATGAAAAAACACTTGTCACCTGTCACTTATCATTTGTTACCTGTCACCTGCTCCAGCTGTCATATGACCTGCAGTGAAACCACCTGACACACAGAGAGACAGGTGGGGGCAGAGCCTATTCTTACCCATGCACAGGTAGTTTCAGCAATCTGAAGATGTTGGAGGTCATGGTGGACAGAGAGAGGTCATCACGCTCCGCCCCTATCTCCGTCACCACCACACACCTGCTGATGTCTGATTGGATGAGACAGAACAGTCATTGTAAATCCGCCTTAAAAGCAACATTACATTACATTAACAACAACACCACCTGAACATTTCAACACTCACAGAACAACACCAATACCACCTTAACTCTCACACTACCTAAAGTGTTTTTTCAACATATCAACAGATGAACAGATTGATGTGATGTCACCTTCCTGTCCAGAGGCGTGCAGCGTTTCTCCGTTCAGAAAGGCTCCTCTTCCTCTCTGAGCATAGAAGAGTTTGTCCTCCACACAGCTGTACACAATCCCAAACTCTGTCTGACAACAACAACAACAACAACATGTAAGACACTTCCTGTCTGACCCCTCTGACCTCAGACTGACAGGTGAGTTTACCTGCTTGTTGACTGTGAAGGCAATGGAGATGGCCACAAATGGAAACCTGTCAGCAGAACACATCAGGTTGTGATTACATATCTATATAACTGTGGTTCTATGAGCTGTAACTGTGGTTCTATGAGCTGTAACTGTGGTTCTATGAGCTGTAACTGCAGTTCTGTGAGTTGCAACTGTGGTTCTATAAACTGTAAATATGGTTCTATGAATTGTAACTGGGTTCTATGAGTTGCAAATGTGGTTCTATGAGCTATAACTACAGTTGCAACTACAGTTCTAAGATTTGTATCAACATTTACACTTCCTTTAGTGCTTTCAAACCCAAAGTCTAACAGCACTTCAGGCAACAGAATTCCTTGAATGCACTCTTTTATTGTTAAACATCAGCACGGTGTGTTGATTAACAAAAACATGAATCAATGAGAACACATGAAACTGTGAGGTCATGACATCACAGTGTGGGAGGAGCCTCTCACCTGTGGACGAAATTAACAGTCCCGTCAATGGGGTCAATGATCCAGGTGGGAGAGTCCGTCAGCTCCAGACGCTCACCTGCAGCCACAGACTCCTCCCCAATGAACCTGAGGGTCAAAGGTCAAGCAGCAGAATTATTTACCTGCTGACTTCCTGTCTCTGATACTGCTGTCCAATCAGAAACACTTTAATTGAAAAGCCAATGCCACATATTTATTGGTCATGTCACATCGTGAACTTGTGCGTTATAGAACAGAATGAACCAGAACCTGTGTTATAGAACAGAATGAATTAGAACCTTTGTTATAGAACAGAATGAATTAGAACCTGTGCAGTGGATATTTGTTCCTGATGGCGTTGATCAGGATCTTCTCAACTCGTTGATCAGTTTCTGTTACCAGATCAGCCGGAGAACTTTTCAGGTGAACTTGTTTCTGCTGCTGAAATGCCAACAGGACGATCTGAGAGCAGAGACATTTGTTCATTAGTGAACTGAACTTACGTGTGTGTGTGTGTGTGTGTGTGTGTGACCTGCAGTGTGTCCTCTATCAGGAACATTCACAGAATCAGTGACAGACGTCAACACAGATAGAGAATCAGTGTGTCCTTGTTTGTCTCAGACATTAAGAGAAATCAGTGTGTGTGTGTGTGTGTCTCATTCTCCACATTCTTGGCGGTTTGTTATCAGACCTGAACTGAACCTGACCTGGCTCACCTGAGTGACATCATCAGAACCTGCAGCTGATTGGTTGGTGCGTCTCTTACCTCACTGGCTTGTTTGGCAATGGAGATGCCGAAGTTCAGACAGTCAGTCCAGTCGGCCATGATGACGGAGAGCAGAAAATCGGACAGAGTGAGACCCCCTGTCAGAGAAGAAGAAATAGAGGTCAGAGAAGAGGAAAAAAAAGAAAGGACAAACCAAAGAAGAAGTAAAATTATGAAAAAAGAGAAAATGAAAACAAAGAAAAGGAAGAAACAGATTAACATGATGGAGAAAGGAAAAGACTCCAAAGAGAGAAAGAAAAGGGTGTGAAGGAGGAAAAGAGAGCAAAGACCAGAAGACATGATAGACAGGAAAGGAAAGAAGGAAAGGAAGAGAGGAGGAATGAAAGAGGAACTGATGACAGAGTAATAAAAGAGAGTAGAATATATAATGACAAAAAGACAGAGATGAAAGAATGAAAAAGAAAAACAGGAAGAGAAATCAGAATAAACAAAATAATGAGATGAAAACATGAATAGAAAATAAAAGACTGAGACAGCAGAGACAGTAGAAACAATAGAAAACAGAAGAGATAATAGAAACAGTAGAGACAGAAACAGTAGAGGCAGTAGAAACATTAGAAACAGCAGAAACAGCAGAAACAGTAGAGACAGTAGAACAGCAGAAACAGAAGGGGCAGTAGAAACATTAGAAACAGCAGAAACAGCAGAAACAGTAGAAACAGTAGACAGTAGAAACAGTAGAGACAGTAGAAACAGTAGAGACATTAGAAACAGCAGAAACAGTAGAGACAGTAGAAACAGCAGAAACAGTAGAAACAGTAGAAACAGCAGAAACAGTAGAGACAGTAGAAACAGTAGAGACAGTAGAAACAGCAGAAACAGTAGAGACAGTAGAGACAATAGAAACAGCAGAAACTGTAAACAGTAGAGACAGTGGAAACAGCAGAAACAGTAGAGACAGTAGAAACAGCAGAAACAGTAGAGACAGTAGAAACAGTAGACACAGTAGAAACAGTAGAGACAGTAGAAACAGCAGAAACAGTAGAAACAGCAGAACAGAAACAGTAGACAGTAGAAACAGTAGAAACAGTAGAGACAATGGAAACAAGAGAAACAGTAGAGACAGTAGAAACAGCAGAAACAGTAGAGACAGTAGAAACAGTAGTAGACAGTAGAAACAGCAGAAACAGTAGACAGTAGAAACAGTAGAAACAGTAGAGACAATGGAAACAAGAGAAACAGTAGAGACAGTAGAAACAGCAGAAACAGTAGAGACAGTAGAAACAGTAGAGACAGTAGACAGTAGAAACAGCAGAAACAGTAGAGACAGTAGAGACAATAGAAACAGTAGAGACAGTAGAAACAGCAGAAACAGTAGAGACAGTAGAAACAGTAGAAACAGCAGAAACAGTAGAGACAGTAGAGACAGTAGAAACAGCAGAAACAGTAGAGACAGTAGAAACAGCAGAGACAGTAGAGACAGTAGAAACAGTAGAGACAGTAGACAGTAGAAACAGCAGAAACAGTAGAGACAGTAGAAACAGTAGAAACAGCAGAGACAGTAGAAACAGCAGAAACAGTAGAAACAGCAGAAACAGTAGAGACAGTAGAAACAGCAGAGACAGTAGAAACAGTAGAGACAGTAGAAACAGTAGAGACAGTAGAAACAGTAGAAACAGTAGAAACAGCAGAAACAGTAGAGACAGCAGAAACAGTAGAGACAGTAGAAACAGTAGAGACAGTAGAGGCAGAGTTCGTACCTGAGCTGACGTGAGTTCAGCAGAAGGAAAAGTTTCTGCTCCTCTGAACTTTTTCTCTTTTTATACAACAAACTACCAATCAGAGCTCAGCTCCCGCCTGCTACAATGCATCCAGCCAGTGGCAGCACTGCATGGATCACTAGGCTCCCCCCCCCCCACATCATCGTCTTCATCCTCCTCATCCTCAGTGGTCTATTCCCTAGTTTGTTTCACTCAGAACTTCATTTAAAAATGTTTTGATTTTTAGAAGTTTGTTCTGAAGTGGTTTTCTTCAATCAGCTGAGAGTCAGAGGGGTGAGGCAGCGTAAGGGAGGGTGAGGGAGGTTCAGCAAAGGTCAGAGGTCACGAGAAAGTAGCTGCACGTGTAGTCAGCTGACTGAGAACAAACATCCTGTTCAGAAACTCTTTCTCACTGCTAATATGGTTTGAGACAGCTAATGTGTGTGTGTGTGTGACCTGCAGTGTGTCCTCTATCAGGAACATTAACAGAACATCATACATCAGTCTATCATTGACAGACATCAACACAGATAGAGAAGTAGCCTTGTTCGTCTCAGAAATGAAGAGAAATCAGCAGAAGTCTGGAGAACATCAGAGAGAACGTCAGCAATAACAACATATCCGATAGTCTGATAAAAGGTTAAAGCTAAAGGAGTAAAAACTATGTCAGACTGTCAGCACACCGACCTCTGACCTCCTTCTACATTAACTATCAGGTTACAGTGTGGTGTCACGTTAAAGACATCATCTCTCGTCTCTACAGCTCAGTTCTGGTGATAAAGTGACTTGAAGTTTAAAGACACAGAGTCAAACTTCTATCAAACAAACAGTCATCAACTATCAGTGATGATACGCGCAGTGACATCATCACCACCATCACAGCAGTTTTATCACTCACACACACACACACACACACACACACACACACACACACACACACACACGATAGTCAATATCTACCTCTACATATACAGAAGTATGATACATGTATGATACAGATATATATATGTATGTATAGATTACCTTTGTGATGTTTAGGCAGATTCTAGGCTGTAATTGGTCGATTATCTGCCTATTAATTACTATTTAATTACCGACAGAATCAGTAGGATGCAAATTACTAATTAGAGCTGGTTTCACTTGTCAGAACAAACATGTATAAGTTCCTTGTTCCAGTCACTGATGATCGTTTTTCATTAAAACACAGGCGGCCATGTTTGTTTTCAGACTCAGTAAGAACCACGTAAGCTAACATTAGCTTGTTCATGACACAGAATCAGCAACAAACGAAAGAACTGATTAACTCAGATTAAAACTTTTATTAATTGTTGATCAGCTTCTGTCTGATATTGATCTACTGAAGCACATCGACGTCACTAGGTGATGTCTTAAACCAATCATAGCAGCAGCTCCTGAGGCTTCTTCCAGAGCTTTCAACCACGTCTTGATCTTTAAGCTCCAGAAAAAGGTGTCTAAGTGGATGTTGAGTTGAGCCAGATCTGAGCTGTGATTGGCTGCTGGATGTTCAGTCTGGGTTCATGTTTATGTGGGATTGATGTAATTGTGGAACACAGGAAGTCCATGCTGACAAACAGGAAGTCATCTGCCTTTCTTCATCTTGGCCACCTTCTCCTTCCTCTTCTTCACGTGTTTCGGGACTTTACTCTTTCTTTTTTCTCTCTGAGCTTCTTTCACCATTTTCTTCTTCTCCTGAAAAAAAACAAACTTTATTCTCACTTTTATTTTTCATTTCAGAGACAAAAATCACCTGCATCAGCTTCATTGGTTCAGAGATTCAAAGATACAATGAGAGTCAAACACCTTTCTGTCCATCGAGGTTTCCTCATTCTGCTCCTGCTCATCTGCCTCCTCTTCATCCTCCTCCTCTTCTTCTTCCTCTTCTGATGAGGAGTGGTCGTCCACCAGGAGAGCAGGAACCTGAGGAGAAACGAAAGGACGAAGTCAGGCTAATCTATGCTAAACTATGCTAAGCTAACACTAGCATGAGACAGAGTGTGAGGTAACATACCGTCTGAACTCCAGAGAGATCCTTCTTCAGTCCAGTCAGTGTCTGATACAGAATCTGAACACAGAAAAACAACTTCATCTTCTTCATCATCTTCTTCGTCATCATCACCATCATCATCTTCATCACAATAAACAATTGTAACCAAGGTTAAATAATCTGCATTTTGAAATGCTCCGTGCGTGTATTTTGAAAGGATTGTTTCCTCTGCCAGCATCTACTTCCTGTTCTTTTAGTAGCTTTTTGCTTGTCAAGATGCTGGCTCGGTTGACCAATCGGGTGTAAGCTTCCACCTGGTTGACCTCTGCGCGTGGGTTTTTTTTGTTTGAGCCGCAGCGAGGAACGAGAGCAACCATCAAGACAAGCAACACGTGAAACGGAAGAAAAACTATAAAAGTTCATTTAAGTTGATAAAAACGGCGGCACGGCGAGAAAGACCTGTCATCACTAGTCACGGAGAAAAAACGTTTGGTGCGAGATGTTTTGACCGTGCTAATGCTAACGCGAGTGCGATAACGCTAACAAACACACAATGGTGATGCCATTCACTTATGCTAAAGATGTTAGCTTTGTTATTTTGAAAGTGAAATCTAAATTGGTGCAGTGTATTACGTGTTTTGTGTATGTATTTAACCCTTGCATATCTGTTACATGCTGAATGGTTATTTGTGTAGATTTAAGCCCCTTAAATTGTGTTTTTTAAGCACACGAATCTGCACTTTGCTAATTGCTCACATTAAATATTTTTGTTGTTGTTTAAGTACCTTTACTGGGCTTTACTGTAGACTCTACTGTAGGCTGCTGTTGCATGGCAGAGGGTGCACACAGCATGTGTGTTCCTTTTATTATTATTATTATTATTATTATTATTATTATTATTATATTATTATTATTATTTTATTCCAATTGAGATATGTGAAGGTGAATGCGAATATGTAAAAGAGAAAATATATTGTTTATAATTAATTTTGAGTGAAAGGTTATTTCAGTAACCATAGTTGTCTAATATTTTGAATCTATTATTACATATGTTGAACCTTAATAATTGTGAAGTCCCCTTTACAATGTTTCATTAGTTCAAACTGTTATTCTCTGGTAATTTAGAGAGTAATCAGGGAAATTAGAAGATGTATTCTAGCTTTTATGTNGTTATTTGTGTAGATTTAAGCCCCTTAAATTGTGTTTTTTAAGCACACGAATCTGCACTTTGCTAATTGCTCACATTAAATATTTTTGTTGTTGTTTAAGTACCTTTACTGGGCTTTACTGTAGACTCTACTGTAGGCTGCTGTTGCATGGCAGAGGGTGCACACAGCATGTGTGTTCCTTTTATTATTATTATTATTATTATTATTATTATTATTATTATATTATTATTATTATTTTATTCCAATTGAGATATGTGAAGGTGAATGCGAATATGTAAAAGAGAAAATATATTGTTTATAATTAATTTTGAGTGAAAGGTTATTTCAGTAACCATAGTTGTCTAATATTTTGAATCTATTATTACATATGTTGAACCTTAATAATTGTGAAGTCCCCTTTACAATGTTTCATTAGTTCAAACTGTTATTCTCTGGTAATTTAGAGAGTAATCAGGGAAATTAGAAGATGTATTCTAGCTTTTATGTGATGGTGTACTGATTAGAAGCTTGAATGTTCTGACCTTATCCACAATAAGTCAAGTTTTTTTTGTGGACCCCGAGAGAGAGTTCCTGTCCCACCTGGAGTTGGAGCTTGGAGACTATTGGATGNTCCTTTTATTATTATTATTATTATTATTATTATTATTATTATTATTATTATATTATTATTATTATTTTATTCCAATTGAGATATGTGAAGGTGAATGCGAATATGTAAAAGAGAAAATATATTGTTTATAATTAATTTTGAGTGAAAGGTTATTTCAGTAACCATAGTTGTCTAATATTTTGAATCTATTATTACATATGTTGAACCTTAATAATTGTGAAGTCCCCTTTACAATGTTTCATTAGTTCAAACTGTTATTCTCTGGTAATTTAGAGAGTAATCAGGGAAATTAGAAGATGTATTCTAGCTTTTATGTGATGGTGTACTGATTAGAAGCTTGAATGTTCTGACCTTATCCACAATAAGTCAAGTTTTTTTTGTGGACCCCGAGAGAGAGTTCCTGTCCCACCTGGAGTTGGAGCTTGGAGACTATTGGATGTTTGATGGCGAGCTACGGACCAATGGAGAAGAACTTGAGACTCAATTGAGTGCAGAAGATTGGAACCCTGAACTCCAGAAACTTTGCTTCCACACACCGTCAACTCCTTCAACAGTGTGGTAGGACAAACAGTTGGCACTTTCCAGTGGGCTGAGCAGTATTATCTGCTGCAAGGACTAAGTGATTGAGCTGAAGGGGTTAAATTGAACATTGAATCTAAAGACTATTGATACAGCTGTGAATTCTTTTATTTTTATACTTACCCGGGTAAGAGTTGTATTGTGTTACTGTATACTGTATAGCTGTGTTTTCTATTCATCCTTCCCTGTTTTTTTTTATTAAATGGGAAGAGCAGTTCTTTCTTAAAGAAGAGATACTGTGTCTGAGTTGTTCCTGGTGTGTTGTTTGGTTCATCCTTGGCTCCGTAGTCGTATCTAGAGCTTCTGATCTTACTAGCCACAGATAGATATCACATTTGTTCACTACAGCTTCTTATATATTTTGTAGCTCCACCAAAAACGGTTCCACAATGTTTTACTAGAAATGACGAGCTCAGGAAACTTTAGGAACTTCTACTGGGTTCTATCTGTTATCTCTACTGTCTCTGTCTCTACTGTCCCTGTCTCTGCTGTCTCTGCTGTCTCTACTGTCACCGTCTCTACTGTCACCGTCTCTACTGTTTCCGTCTCTACTGTCTCTGTAGAAATGACGAGCTCAGGAAACTTTAGGAACTTCTACTGGGTTCTATCTGTTATCTCTACTGTCTCTGTCTCTACTGTCCCTGTCTCTGCTGTCTCTGCTGTCTCTACTGTCACTGTCTCTACTGTTTCCGTCTCTACTGTCTCTGTCTCTACTGTCCCTGTCTCTGCTGTCTCTGCTGTCTCTACTGTCACCGTCTCTACTGTCACCGTCTCTACTGTTTCCGTCTCTACTGTCTCTGTCTCTGCTGTCTCTGTCTCTGCTGTCTCTACTGTCACTGTCTCTACTGTTTCCGTCTCTACTGTCTCTGTCTCTACTGTCTCTACAGTCTCTGTCTCTACTGTCACTGAATCTGCTCATCTATCTTTACGTTTGAGTTTCTTACGTTGTCATCGTGTCCAGAGAGGGCCGACTCTTCCTCCTTCGTCCTCATCAGGTCAACGTCTCGCTCATAGTGACTCACCTCCGTCAAAGTCCGGGGGATGTAGGCCTTCTTAAACACCTGTGGGACAAGAGGAGGGAAGGGAGGGGAGGGGACATACAGGTGAGAGGTTAAAGGTCAGACAGACTTACTCACAGAAAAGTGGTTGAGACCGTAACCAGCTCAAAATGTTACACCTCCTCATCCACTCTGTCCTGATCTGATCGCTGCTCTGATGTCCGCTCAGCTGCAACCAACATCGCCTAGACAACCAAACAGACAAATAAGTAAACAAACAAGAAAAAAAAGATGGACAACTTCTGTTTTTTAGTGTAATGTCTTGTTTCAGTCTTCCTTGTTCTTGTCTGTTATTTCTGTCTGTATCTTGATTTTTTTTAATACTACATTATCTGAAGATGTGTTTGTAATAAGCTGTATTTCTGCAGAAACACCTTCTCCAGGTATTGATCAATGTTGTGGCAGGTGATCGACAGGTCGGTGATGAAGTCAAACAGTTCTCTGACCGTCATCACGGCCACACCATGCTTCACAAAGAACTCTGGGAAATAGAAACAGACATCAGCTGACAGAGGAAACTGAATTCTGTCATTACTCTTTTATTCCAACAGATTCTGACTTTATTCTCAGACAAGTGATTTTCAAATGAACAGTTAAACAGTCAAGACGTTCTGCAGCATCTCACCGTTCACGTTGCTGCAGTCCTTCCTGAGGAACTCGAGGGCGTGAGGATGATCGTGCTCCACTGACTGTGACACATCGATGATGTAAGCGTCTCCGTTGTGATACCTGCAGGTGGGGACACACTGTCTGTTGGTCTTTGATATTATTCAAATGTATGATGTTAGTTTTCTTTACTGACATGTTGGCGTTGGAGTCAGATGAGTCAGCCGGGTTTATTGAACAGAATCAGAACAAAGATGAAACCGACAACTCCATAATGATTGCATGAACCGGGGGGTGCTGCCTGCAGTCACTGTTAGTCTAATTCATTATCTACATCTGTTCAATAAACAAGAAAAAACATGTAGATGAGACAGAGCTGGTGTTGATGGAGCTCGGCTAACAGTTCTCTATGAATCTCTGTACTGGACTCAGAGATGAAACTGACTCATCTGACTCTCTCAGGATTGTGAAATATAGAACAAAAACACACTGAAACTGTAAAGAATCCAATTTTAGAGAATCAGAAGTGTCAGAGTATGTTTTACTTTGAAAGATTTGTGTATGTGGTGGGTGTGTCCTGCTGCTGGGCACTGTCTCTTACAACATGTTGAACTCGCTGAGGTCGGCGTGGACAAGTCGAGCCTCCTGAAACATTTTCCTCATGTTCTGTAAAACCTGTAGGTAGAGCTCACGAGCCTTTGACTCAGACAATGACGCGTTCTTCAGCAAAGGAGCCGGCCTGATCGATCAATACATGCCATGACAGTCAGGGTTACTCTGTGCACATCACTGATCAATCACTCTGATCAAGACTCTGAATGGTTCTTACATGTTATCTTTTCCAATGAAGCTCATCAGTAGAACATGACTTCTGAGCAGCAGAGGTTCTGGACTCGGGATCCCTGCCGTCTGAAGCCTGAAACACACACATTGTCAGGTTCTAGTGGGTTCCATCAGTTAAATCTACTGGGTTCCAAATGTGTGCCAGATCAGGTTCTACTGGGTTGTCTGTCTTTCAAATCTGGTTCCACTAGGTTCTAATGGGTTCTGTAGGTCAATAGAAAGGGTCTGACCTGATGAGGTTCCTCATCTCCTTCTCTGCCCAGGTTCTCACCATCTTCCTGGGGTTTCCTTTACAATAACCATGACGGAACCTGCAGAACAACAGAAGAACATATAACCCTGTTACTGAACATGATACAGATCCTCTATTATATGAATCACCAATTAGCTCAGTGAGACCTGAACTCTTCTTCTGTGGTGTGACTGACCTGAACTCTCCACTGACGTATTTGTCTCGGTCTTTGAACAGCAGGATGGAGGTCTTGTAGATCTTGATGGCTCTGCTCTCTCCTGCTGAGGTGCTTGCGTGATAAACATTTGCCTGAAAACACATTAGACCACATTCATGTTCAAAAACCGGCCGTGGACTTCTTACTACATCTTACAACATTAGCAAGCTAGGCTAATTAGCTTCACACACACAGAGCAGAGACAGGTTGACAACTCGTTATGCTAAAGGCAATAAAGACTAAAATCAAAGACGCACAGACGTCGACCCCCATACAAGAATCCCCCCCCCTCCAGGATTGATCAGTATTGTTGTATTGGTGGGTGATGTCTGACCTCCTTCCCCGTACTGATGCAGCCATTGATTTCACAGATCACTCCTCGACTCAACATCTTGAACAGAATCATTCGAGTCCGAGGATCTAAAACCTGCAGAAGAAGAAACAATACACATCAATGCACATTTATTATCTGCTGGTTATTGATCCTTATTTCAAACACTACGAGAGAACATTTCAAACCGGCTTTCACTTCCTCTCTGGCTTTTTCTAAATAAAAGTGTCTTCATGTGCAGCTCACCTGTTCAACTGTGGCTCGATCGGATTTGTCCTTCACTCTGTACCTGCAGAGAGCAGCCAATCAGAAGGTTAGTCACATCAGTCACATGGCCTGCTCTGAAAATAACGTTCTGATGAAATCAGACGTACGTGACGGCATCTCTCTGTTTCTGCATCGTCGTCACTTTATTGATCACTGAGTCGGCGTAATTCAGTTTATCTGAAACAACACAAACAGAGAACCTGTTCAAATCAGAACCTGAAAACCAGAACCAGATCATATTGAGTTGTTGTTAGTATAAGTGTAGTCAGTACAGGTGTAGTTAATTCAGGTGTAGTTAGTACAGGTGTAGTTAATACAGGTGTAGTTAATACAGGTGTATTCAGTACAGGTGTATTCAGTACAGGTGTAGTTAGTACAGGTGTAGTTAGTACAGGTGTAGTCAGTGCAGGTGTAGTCAGTGCAGGTGTAGTCAGTGCAGGTGTAGTCAGTACACGTGTAATTACCCAGGTTGATCTTGTGTTCGTATTTCCTCAGAGCTTTGTCTGATGGAGTCGACGACGGCAGCGTTTTATTGGACGGATTCTGTCTGTTGGACTGAAAACAAACAAACAAACAGTAAACACACAAACAAGGGACTGAGGAGACAAACTGATCCATCAATAATCAATCAGATTGATCAGACCTGACAGTTCGTCCTGTTGTATCTTTTGGTCAGATCTCCTCCTGCTGTGGTCCATGCCCACTCTTCATCTTCATCCTCCTCCTCTTCCTCCTCTTCACTGTCCTCTTCCTGATGGTATGATGATGATGAAGGCTGCAGAGTGACATCACTGATCTGACTCAGTACAGCCGACACCTCTGATTGGTCGCTGCAGACAAAAGGAAATCAAACAGTGTCAGAAACATGGCTGCCAGGTAAACTCGAATAGGTGAGCAGCTGCTGCACTCTGGTCAGAGATCTACACTTTCACTGTCCTGACCCCAAACATACAAACATGTCAACAAACAACAACAACAGCCTTATTGTAAACTGTGAAACACATCATCATTTATTAATAAGTTACTGACAGGCTCCTTTTACTAGTTATAAATAGTAATAACACGTTAGTCAGATTAATGAGTAGTGAACATTAACTTGATCTTGCCAAATAGTGAGTCTTCATCATTATATGAAATATATCAGTTCGCAGTTACATGAGGGACAGAGACACAGTTATTTCTATTGTTTCTACTTTTACAGGAAGCAGGCACCATAACTTTCCAATAGGTGTGTCAACTGGATCAAGTGAAGGTGCCACAACAGGAGAACCCTTATAGAGTATGATACCTGAAGGACTGATATCAAAAACAACAGCAAACTGTTTGGAGCTTTCCCTCCTCATTGAAGGGTTGATTCACCATGACAACACCACTCATGAACCAACTGTCAGAACTAAGGATTTCTTTCTGTGACACGTCCCTGTTGCTCCACAGGAAATATTTGCTTGGACAAAACCTGCTGAGACAAATCTCAGACCACCTAGATTAGAAAACACATAGACTCACCTGTCCTCCGCGTCATCAAACTGTCCAGGTACACACCCGACCACAGACATGAGGTCACACTCCACAGGTTAAGACCGAAACCAGAATCTGAACCGGGTCCTAACTGATCCAGACTGTGTTAGAGCAGCTCTGAACGAACTCCGTCAACGGCGTGTTCTTCTTTTCACTACCGGGTTTGAACACGTGAGTACGGCGAGAGACGAGGGTTATTCAACGATCTGATGAGACGGTGCTGCCATCTGCTGGAGGAAGAGTACAGTATGTACAGTAAGATTTATACTGAGCTGGACATAAAACAAACCCACATACAAACAAACAAACAAAAGCCTCTAAGGAGAGAGAGTCGAACAACACAGGATAAAAATCCTGAGCCCAAAAGGCGATTTATTTTACTTTACTGATTATTGATGATTCTCCTCTCATTGATTAACAGATTTGACCATTTAGAGGGAAAAGAGATTAATTTACTGCACAACATGAATAGAACACACCATTTTATCTTTGTCTGACTGTTTAAAGTGGATAACTCTTTTTACTCTATTTTTTCTTCTTCTTTTTTAACTGAATAAAGGGAGTGTGTTTTTAAATATTTTTTTAAGATCTGTCAACAAACTAATTTGTAATTAAATATTTTCAGTTTTTCAGTCTATGATTTCATTTAATTAAAGGTTTAAATAATTTTAACTATAAACATTTTGACTCACCGTTTATTTTTCAGTTTTTTCACCCTAACCATAGATTGCCCCAGTCGGGAGCATTTAAGTTGAAAACCCGTCACAGGAAGTATCCTGTAGCGTGTTAGCCGTTAGCTCCCTGACCATAGATCAGTCTTTTCACAGTTAAAAAAAGTTATAGTGAAGATGTCTGTTGATCTGGATCAGACTCCACGGTCTCTGCTGGTCTGTGATCGGTCCAGTTTCCTGGATGAGAAGAACCGGATCAGTTCGCAGGTGGAGCAGCTACACTTCAACTACAAGGTGAGGCCGTTAGCATATTAGCCGTCTTAGGACGTATAGCTCCATTAGCCAAGCCCTGTCTAACGTTCCCGTAGTTGTATCAGTCCAGAGAGTAAGCTAGTACTGTTCGTTAACTAGTATTAACTAATGTAAAGTACCACGTCGCTGTGAAGAGTTAGCGGTTAGCATGCTAACAGTGAAAAAGAAAACAAACCGAGTTTACACGTGCTAGGCACGGATTTTCAAAATAAAAGTCAGAGTGGCCTTGGTTCCTGCACGGTGAGATTAAGATAAATACATTTATTCCAGTACTATAGTATATATACTGGTACTGCAGTACATCTCAGAGTACTTGTTGTAGTGTACTGTGGTATTTACACTAGCACTGCAGTGATGAGACGTTATTACAGGTTAACCTGCTCGGCAACAGAATATAAAGTCATTAAAATCAGCTGCACCACGACCGAACGGAGTATTTCTTCTTCTGTGGTATTTGTACTTTACCTCAGTATAGAATCAGAGTACTTTAATCATGTGGTAATTTCACAGAGACAAGCTCATTAATCAACAATATTAATCTTCCAGTTGTTCCTGGACAGATGTTAAAAACAGTTCAGATTCAAACAGCGAGAATTAAGTTTTAAAGATCTTAATGAAACTAATCGTTCGAGATCAAATGTATGAGCCATTTTAACTCGTTATGATGTCACAACATCAGACAGGTGACCAGTTAAATACAGCTGTGTTCAATATGTGAGTCAGTAAAAAGTCTCTCTATAATGATATTTAACATTTCAGTCAACACACTGGTTTTATCCGTGCAGGTGTCTGTGCTGCTGCCTGAGTGTAGCTCCGCCCCCTCTCACTTGGATTCTGTGTTAAACAGTTTCAGCAGTTTCTACCTGATCAGGAAGCTGCCTATACATGAACTGCTGGATAAACACTTCCTGGAGATGGCCGTGTACCAGGGTAACATATGTGCACACCTGTATCACCTGAGAGATACACCTTTACACACCTGAGACAAACCTGTACACTGACTGCTCCTGTGTTTCAGGTAGTGCGTACGGTGTGTCATACAGGACCAGGATAGATGAAGATAACTGTGTTGCTCTGATGCCAAACGGTAGAAACTCCTCCTCCTGCCTGATGATGATGAAATAATGTCTGACATCACTTCCTGTTTACTGCAGATTTCGTATTTACTGTGTAAATATATGTTCTACATGACCAATCACATACTCCACACCTGGATGACATGTCTCATGTACCTGGATCCAGGTGAGGTCTCAGTCTACGGAGACAAACTGATGTAACACTAGGGGGCACCATGATGAACCAAAACATATAGAATGTAAACGTCTCCCTGTGGATTTATTTTCTCAAAGAAGAAAACACAACAGGATTTACAGAGGACATACAGTATGATGGAGTTGACTGTCTACCACTCTGATTGTACCTTCATGACTGTCCCTGTTTGACTGTACCTGTCTGTTTGCAGGTCGTCTGTGCCTAACTCTGGATAAAGACTCCTTCCAGTTGTTGGGGTTTGAGGGGAAACTGTCCAGATTCACCCACAGGACAAACAGCAGATATGGTCTGTCACATTTTATTTCTATAGCCTGATGTAATATATATATATATATATATATATATATATATATAAAATCAGTCACACCTTTACTTGAACAGGTGTAACAGTCTGTTCAGCATCATCCCCAGTTAGGTAAAGAGAAGTCCTTTAATGAGGTCGAAAGCTCAGGAAGTTCATCAGAGGAGGGGGGTTGTTAGTGGTTCACTCAGCCGCCGCCTACGAGCTGATTGGTCGATCCATGACTACTTCTACTGCAGTCATGTGTGTATTTGTGTGTACTTCTACTGCAGTGGTGTCTGTTGATCTGACTGACAGCAGCATGGCTCCTGGTGGGCGGGGCTACCTGAGACTCCTCACAGGTCTGAGGTCACGACTTCATCTGAAGTGTGATTTTCTGCTGTCGCATCATCCAGGTGAGACATATGCATGTGTGTTACCCATGATCCTTTGCTGCTATTGCACACTTTATATTACCCATAATGCCCTGCTGTCTGTCCTGCAGGGGGCGGAGCCTCTCTGCAGCCCCTCCTGTCTCATTATGATTGGTCGGAGCACAGACCTGAGATCAGTACTCACGCTCTGACACACCTGTCCTGTCCCGCCCAGCTGACCTCTGACCTGCAGTCATGTGACCCTCACAGCTTCCTGGAGTGGCTCGGAGCCGTGGACGGGGACATCAGCAGGTGACAAACTGTCTTTTTGTACCTGCTCTGTAAACACACCTGTCAGGCAGAACACAGTGAAGTCTTCTTCTGTGGTTTCAGTGAGAACTCACCAAGCAGCTTCCTGTCATCGTTTGTCTGTCCCGAACCAAAGACGACACTGAGTCAAGCTCTGAGCATTTCCGTCTGCGGACTGCTGCTTCCTCAAGACGTGCACCGACTCATCCAGGAGATCAGGTGACACCTGACCTTTGACCCTCAACACTGCTGACACCTGACCATAGTGTCATATGTCTCAGTGGTTTCATCAAATCTGAGTCCAGTTCTGAAGAATCAAACCTAAACTGAGCTGAGAGGATGTCTTTGTTACAGTCTCTGAGCAGCTACAACGTAACACCTGTAGGATACAATGAAACACCTGTAGAATACAATGTCACACCTATGGAATACAGCGTAACACCTGTAGAATACACTTTTGTAACAAACACCTAGATCAGGAGGGAGCGACATGAAGTGACTGTACCTGTCATTTTCTCTTCTGTCCTGCAGGTGTTACCTGGAACAGCCTCTGCTTGAGTCCTGGGTGTCTCTTACGGTTCATGGGTTTGTTGACAGTCCAGTATCATGGGGGGGCAGCGAGCATGGAGTCCTGAGAGGAGGAGAGAACTTCTACACCCTGCTAATGTTTCACGACCACACCTACCACCTACACCTGGCTACAGGAGCACACGACATCTGTCCACCATGATGTCATCAGCATGCATCTGTATTGTTCTGTTGAACCCTGTTTAGTTTTTATTTCTACTTGGATCAGGATTTGTTGTAGAAACTTGTTTCAGGTCAGTTTTGATGAAAAATAAAATCTGAGTTGTAAACACACATGAACCAGCAGTCGTCACTTTATAATATATAATATAATATATAATGTCTCAGGAACAGGAGCCTCTTCAAATTTGGTACAAACTGTCACTTGAACTCAAACATTAACTAACAACCCTCACAAAAAACATGTTTTTGGACATAACTGAAAGGAGTCATAATTCAACACAAGTGTCTAACACAATAAAATGATGAAGCGGTGACATTTTATATCCAAAAGGTCAAAGGTCACCTTCACTGTGACAAGTGTAATAATAACAGTGGTCACACAGAATCAGGATCTGTATCATTTACTTGGTTATGTTTTTACAGAGTTCATATCTATTCGTCCTGTTTCAGTTCATTTAAACATTCTCACAAAATAAGACCACATCATCTCTGTCAGAGACTTTCACACTGAACAGGTTTTTATTGACTGGTTCTGTCTGGTGTCTCTGTCTTGTTTTATATCAAAAGGAAGTCTGTCAAATGATTTAGAAAAGTTCTTTAATAAAGTTCCTCTTGTTGACTGTTACAGCAGTGTCAACAGTTGCTCTGGGTTTAAACAATCTGAGACTGAATGTTCCTGTTTGTCTCTGTCATCACAAACTGAACCTGTTCACTGAGAGTCCACAGGTAAATCTGCAGCTGGGTCCCGCCGTCAGTTACAGCCAGCAGCCGCTTAGCCTGGGAACAGCTAGTTTAGTTCAACAAAACTCAACGTAATGAATCTGTTTCCTCCTCACTGCCCTCATATTCTCAGGTTCAGACTCCAGACAGGTGTGTCATCACAGCTGGTCAGGTTAGAGTTAAAACAATGTTAACAGTACAGCACCACCTCCATTAGCTTGGAATGAACAGGCTTCAGATTTAGGCTTTATCACTGATTTTCAGAGGAACTGGGAGGTGGCCAGAGCTAGGCTAGTTGTTTCCAGGCGTTATGCTAAGCTAACGTAAACAGCTGCTGGCTGTAGGATTTACCTTTTAAAATTATTTGTGTGAGCAAACATGTGAACTGCAGGATGCACTGACAGAATGTGTTTAACCTGTGAGATATCGCCTGGACATATAATCACATGACTGACAGGCCAGACCCACACACTGCAGCATTACCTGACAGGTATTTACCCATGATTCATCACTGTCACATGCTGCAGAAACATGATGAGTCTTTAACATGTGAGGACAGACTTAGGGTCAGCTGATTTCCTTTGATTAAAAAAAACAAGTCCACCACAGGAAACTTCAAGGTAAGCGTTAGTAAATTTCATGTTTCTGCTCTTTTATTCCATCAGAGGTAATTCTGGGAAAAGGTCAGAGGTCACCTCCATTCAAACGAACATTTAATCTAAATCCTCCTGTTCTCTGTCCAGTCTGAGGTTTCAGATTCATCTGTGTCAGCACACAGGGCCAGTTAGCCTAGCTTAGCACAAAGACTGGAAGCTGGGGGAAACTGCTAGCCTAGCTTAGCACAAACATTGGGAACAGGGGGAACCTGTTAGGCCCCCCCCCCCCCCCAGACCTGTGAGGTTACACAGGGTTCTACTGTGGATCCTCTGGTGTTCTTCTGCACTGTGTTTTTGATGCAGAAAACTAGCTAGGCCAACAGTTTCCCCCTGCGTCCAGTCTTTGTGCTAAGCTAGGCTAGCAGTTTCCCCCTGCTTCCAGTCTTTGTACTAAGCTAGTGGGTCCTTGATGGGTTCAGCCTAGCTTAGCACAAAGACTGGAAGCAGGGGGAAACTGCTAGCCTAGCTTAGCACAAAGATAAAGCTGAACCTGAGAACAGGAGGAATGTTCTGCTGAAATTATAATTTAAATTTTAACAACAAAAGGATTCTGTTAAACTCGGAATCTGCTGAGTCACTGGTTCCATCTCAGAAGTGCTGAATCATCGGACCAGTCCTGGTCCAGGTCCCAGTTCAGGATTTAGCAGAGGTCGGTTCCCCTCTGCAGGTACTGCAGGATGGAGTCTGTTCCCTGTGATGAACCCCAGACTCTCTTCAGGGCTTCACACTCGCGCTCGTTAGCTTGCTCCAGAGCACTGCGGCTGCTGTTCCTCATCAGGGCTTTGGACTCCCGCAGAACCTGCAGGATAGGAAGTGGAACCCACACGGAAGGTGAAGAAGAAGAAGACGATTGAGGATAAACAGCAGTCATTGTGTGTGTGAGTGTGTGTGTTTGTCTGACCAGGGAGTCAACCGTCACCAGCTCTTTGATCCGCAGCATCACTTCCTGTGTGAAAGTTCCAGGCCACAGAACCTGAGACACCAGACCTTTACAGCAAGCCTCCTGAGCTGTCAGCTTCCTGCCGCTCAGCAGCAGCTCGTTGGCCTGGAACAGAAAGAGGCGTTTAAACACAGTCTGTAACTTCTGCCGCTACACTCAATTAAAACTACAACTAAAGACGCTGTTGGCAGTGTGGGATCATGGGAGTTGTTCATGGAGGGTTAGTGGTGAGGTAAACAAAGGTAAATGAAGTGGTGGACTGACCGAGGCGAGGCCCATTATGCGGGGGAAGGTGAAGGATGAGCAGCCATCTGGCGTCTGGCCATAGGATGTGTATGGTGTCTGGAACCAGGCCTTCTCGTTGGCCCACACCACGTCACACAGCGGCAGGATGGCCGCACCGAGGCCAAGCGCCGGCCCATTCACCGCTGCCACAATTGGCTTCCTGAACTGGATGAAGGTGTTGACAAAAGTCCTGATATAAAGAGAACAGAGGTCAGAGGTCAACACTTCAGACGGATGACACCACAAAGCATTACCATGGCAACTACAGAGGACGTCACCTGATGGTTTCAGCCATCTTGATACTCTCTTTCTTCCTGTCATCCGTCAGGCGTCTGATGAAATACAGGAAGTCAAGGCCGCAGCAGAAAACACTGCCAACAGCGCCAAGTAACACCAGTTTACTATCGTCTGATGCTGCTGTCGCCATGGCGCTCTGGATCTCCTTCATGACCTGACGAGGAGTGACAACATGACTGCTGAGGTCAGTGAGGGTAAAGCAGTGTGAAGGAGTGAAGGTGAAGCAGGGTGAAGCAGTGAGTGGAGCAGTGAGGGTGAAGCAGTGAGGGTGAAGCAGTGAGGGTGAAGCAGTGAGTGGAGCAGTGAGGGTGAAGCAGTGAGGGTGAAGCAGTGAGTAGAGCAGTGAGGGTGAAGCAGTGAGGGTGAAGCAGTGAGTAGAGCAGTGAGGGTGAAGCAGTGAGGGTGAAGCAGTGAGTGGAGCAGTGAGGGTGAAGCAGTGAGTGGAGCAGTGAGGGTGAAGCAGTGAGTGGAGCAGTGAGGGTGAAGCAGTGAGTGGAGCAGTGAGGGTGAAGCAGTGAGTGGAGCAGTGAGGGTGAAGCAGTGAGTGGAGCAGTGAGGGTGAAGCAGTGAGTGGAGCAGTGAGGGTGAAGCAGTGAGTGGAGCAGTGAGGGTGAAGCAGTGAGTGGAGCAGTGAGGGTGAAGCAGTGAGTGGAGCAGTGAGGGTGAAGCAGTGAGTGGAGCAGTGAGGGTGAAGCAGTGAGTGGAGCAGCGAGGGTGAAGCAGTGAGTGGAGCAGTGAGGGTGAAGCAGTGAGTGGAGCAGTGAGGGTGAAGCAGTGAGTGGAGCAGTGAGGGTGAAGCAGTGAGTGGAGCAGTGAGGGTGAAGCAGTGAGTGGAGCAGTGAGGGTGAAGCAGTGAGTGGAGCAGTGAGGGTGAAGCAGTGAGTGGAGCAGTGAGGGTGAAGCAGTGAGTGGAGCAGTGAGGGTGAAGCAGTGAGTGGAGCAGTGAGGGTGAAGCAGTGAGTGGAGCAGTGAGGGTGAAGCAGTGAGTGGAGCAGTGAGGGTGAAGCAGTGAGTGGAGCAGTGAGGGTGAAGCAGTGAGTGAAGCAGTGAGGGTGAAGCAGTGAGTGGAGCAGTGAGGGTGAAGCAGTGAGTGGAGCAGTGAGGGTGAAGCAGTGAGTGGAGCAGTGTGGGTGAAGCAGTGAGGGTGAAGCAGTGAGGGTGAAGCAGTGAGTGGAGCAGTGAGGGTGAAGCAGTGAGTGGAGCAGTGAGGGTGAAGCAGTGAGTGGAGCAGTGTGGGTGAAGCAGTGAGGGTGAAGCAGTGAGTGGAGCAGTGAGGGTGAAGCAGTGAGGGTGAAGCAGTGAGGGTGAAGCAGTGAGTGGAGCAGTGAGGGTGAAGCAGTGAGGGTGAAGCAGTGAGTGGAGCAGTGAGGGTGAAGCAGTGAGGGTGAAGCAGTGAGGGTGAAGCAGTGAGTGGAGCAGTGAGGGTGAAGCAGTGAGGGTGAAGCAGTGAGTGGAGCAGTGAGTGGAGCAGTGAGGGTGAAGCAGTGAGTGAAGCAGTGAGTGGAGCAGTGAGGGTGAAGCAGTGAGGGTGAAGCAGTGAGTGGAGCAGTGAGTGGAGCAGTGAGGGTGAAGCAGTGAGTGGAGCAGTGAGTGGAGCAGTGAGGGTGAAGCAGTGAGGGTGAAGCAGTGAGTGGAGCAGTGAGTGGAGCAGTGAGGGTGAAGCAGTGAGGGTGAAGCAGTGAGTGGAGCAGTGTGGGTGGTATTACTTTTAGGGGGTGTGGTCTAACATGTGGGGGCGTTGCCTCACCTCAGGGTTGAGTGTGTTGTTCTCGGAGCTCTTGGTGGACAGCAGAATGTGGGTGAAGCCGTCTTGTTTCTTCACCACAATGTCACGGTAACGGTAAGCGCTCTCCGTCTGTCGAACACTGAACCTCAGACGTTTGTCAAACGCAGAGCGCTCCTCCAGACGTCGTTTTCCCGTAGCACTCGTTGCCCCAGCAACAGCACTCTGCACGCCTGACATCCCGTTGGCAGCGACAGCCTCCATTAACGCAGAGTTACCTGTGGGAAACAACACATTCAAACATTGTTCCACTGGAGTCACTCGCTCATTTAACACGACCTCATCAGTCCACTCAGATAAATGAAGCCTGCAGGTGAATCTGTTCCCGCTCCTCCTTCACTCTGTATCTTTTAAACAGCTTAAACATTTTCATGAGAAACCAAGGGCCTCATCAGTGACGAACAGAAACTCACTGATGTTCAGCTGCTCGTCTGATGTTTGTTATTTGTTTATGATTTGATGTTTATTTATGATCTGATGTTGTTTGTTTTCTGAACTTCTGGTTTGTCAGAGCTGCAGAGAGAACTGAGCTCAGCTCTGTGATCATGTTATCAGGTGAGTAAACCAGCACACGTGTGGACCGTGTGCGTGTGCGTGGTTTTTTTTTTTTGGGGCGGGGGGATAGGATCGTCCAGAGAAAGACCTGAACCTGGAACCTGATCCGACCTTTTCAACAAGTTTCTGTGTCACCCAATCAGATACATGCAAACTATGTGACCTATGACCTTACCTGTGCCACTGAGGGAGCGCATGGCAGCAGGTGTGATGGGAACTCGGGGTGGGGGCAGAGGGTTCTGGCTGCGTGGTCTGGTCCCCATGCGGGCTCTCTCCTCTCCGGGACCCAGCTGGACTCCTGCAGGTTTCTCCAGCAGGGCTACCTCAGGTGGGACCAGGTGAGCTTCCTGAGCTCCGGCCTCCAGACTGTGAGCCGCCTCGCTGGGAGACTCCTCTGAGTCCAGGCGGCTGTTCATCGGACTCTTAGGAACCAGGATCTTGATGCCGGTCTTGGACAGGTCCACGCTGCGGCGGGCAGAGCCAGCCGGAGCCACCGACATCAGACCAAACCTGTTGGCCGGCAGGGGCAGCGGAGAGCCGACGGAGTGCGGGTGGGTCAGTCCCACGAGGGGCAGGGGAGCCGGACTGACCAGAGGTTTCACCTGGGTACAGTCTCCAGTTAAACCTGCGCCTATGTCACCACGAGCTGCAGAGACAGGCGGCGGCCTGCAGGGCGGCCTGTGGCCAGAGCTGCAGTTGAGGCTGGGCGAGCTGCGGGTGGAGCGCAGTAACGTACTGTCTCTCTGTCGCTCCATGTACTGACGGTTAAACTCATGGACGTAGATCATACAGGTGGACAGGTGACTCTCAGGTTCCCAGGTGTCCTCCTCTGAACCATAACCTCTCCACCTGACCAGGTACTCCACCTTCCCCTTCCTGTTCTTCCTCTTGTCCACGATTCTCTCCACCTGAGGAGAAGAGTTACCTGATGATCTTTATCATACACAGGCGTCACACACATATCAATATATTACAGATCGATATGATTATAAATGATGATGATGAACATGAGCAAGTGAAACACCTGAGACCGACTAGACTCAACAGAAAAATCAATTATTAATTAACAATTAAAATTTAAAAATTTCAATAAAAAAAAAAAACTGTTCTAAATCAGGATTTTACTGGATATTAAAAAATTGACAATTCATTGATCAACTGATTGGTTGATTGACAGGTGACAGTTTCGCAGATCTTCAGTTTTTCCCCACAGTGAATTTACATTTATCAATATTATATAGAAAATCAATCGTTGAGAGATCAGATTTTTCATCATCATCATCATCATCATCATCATCATCATCATCATCATCATCATCGTCATCAACATCAGGAGGCGTCTGATTGGTCCAGATTCAACCAGCAGCAGGACAACGAGTCCAGACACAGAGTCAGAGAGAACTGTCCTCAGAGACCAGAAGAACCAGGAGTCCTGCAGCAGATGGTCTGGACCCCACAGAGACCAGATCCCAGCATCATGGAGTCAGTCTGGATCACATGAAGAGACAGAAGACCTGAGTCAGGTTCTCCAAGTCGCTGGAGGAACTGACCTCACCAGAACCTGAAGAACTTTGAGCAGGTGTACTGAGGAGAACTGGTGCTGGTTTTAAGATAAAGGGGGTCACAGCAAATCCTGATCTGATTCAGGTTTTAGCTCCTTATGCACTTTGTATAAAGTTCACTGATGCATAAAAACTATTCATGTCTTTATGTGCTCATGAGTTGAATTACTTAACTGTCAGAGAACTAGTTTAATAACACCGGATGTGGAGTCTATGCAGGTCCGGGATCAGACTCCGGTTTAAACCCGATGACGTAGGGTTAATTCTCATTTATTCAGCTGTCTATAACAATAATCAATAATTATACTGATGAACTCTTCTCTCACCAGCTAACAGCTAATAGAAGCTGAGTCTGAGCTAGCTGCGGCTGTTTACTGAAGCTAACTCAGTCCGGTCTCATCTGGACCAGGATCCAGACTCCGACTCAACCGGCTCATAACGAACCAGTTCATTTCACTTCTCTTTGTTCAGCTCTTCAGAAACTTTACTCTGCTGCTAGCTTCCATTAGCATGTTAGCATTAGCTCGCGTCACCTCGTAGAACTCCTCCGTAGCCATGGAGACTGTGCGCGTGCACGAGCAGCTTCCAGAAGCTTCTTCAGGTGAGCACCAACATGAGAGACAGGAGTGCCCGGAGTCCTCCTCACCTGAGGTCTGTCTGTTGCTTTTAACCAGCGCGCGTAGTTAGTTTATCACTGTTAACTAGCTGTTAGCCGTTAGCACACCACAGGCTCCACCGAAACATCCGGTCTGACGTGCTGACTTACAAAATAAAAGCCCGGACCGCTGCTGAGACTCTTAATGCTAAGGATTTTAATCAGACTTTAAGGGATAACTAATGAACTGTAGTAAATTATAACGGTATTTTAATAAGATTATATGCAATATATTTTAAAGAATTTTTTTAATTGACCATGAAATCATTTAATTGACCATGAAATCATTCATGTTTATCTGACAATAACTTTAATTTCTAAATCTATTAATCAATGCAGGAAAACTAAATGAACCATAACCTCTTCTTATAGTGTTATGTTGCCATTAATTTTATCACTGAATTTACATATGAACAAATATTGCAGATATAAAATAGAGTATTCCTGTAATGTTATTTATTTTGAACCCATAAAAAAAAACGAAATAGTGTTTCCATTAAATTGCCCAAACCCGGTGAAGCTGTTGAATATCTGAGCAATGAATAAGAAGTAAGTTAAAAGCTCAATTATTAACAGAATCCAGCTTTTACTTCTGCTGATTGTGTTGAGGCTTCAAACATCATGAAGTAGTTGTAAGGTTGTATTTGTTTTTGCATGTTGGTAACTTTGGTTTAAGGATGTTAAGAATGTGAACCTTAGGTAAGCTGCTGATGTTAAAGGATCCAGTACACATCTGGATTTCATGGTTATATTGTTGTTTATGGGTTTATCTACATCCCTCAGAGATTTAGTGATGCGCCCCCTTTTAGGAGGAGGTAAGCAATAGTAGTGAAACACAGAGGTAAAGCTCTCGAGGTGAACAGGTGTTAGTTACAACAGCCAGAACAACAGAGGATATAAGCAGCTCAGGTTCTGTCATTCAGAGAGAGACTTGGTGAATCCTACATCAGATCTGTCCTCCGTGCACGAAACAGCCAAACTCAAGTGTTGACTTGTTCCACTTCATTTTCATAAGTTAAATTATCTCCTCCTCCTTTGTCTAGTTGATCAGATGTTGCATACTGGAATGTGATTGGACCAAACTAGTAGTGATGTCATAAATCCTGTGTCATCGATGTGACATCAGAGAGACGTTTGATCGACATTAGACGTTTAGGAGATGTCAGGTTTTAGTTAATTAAAAACACCTCAGCATCACTGGTCAAAGTCACAGTGACAGATGACATCAGACGGTGACGTCAGATGACAGCAGACATTTGGTCATCTGGTGGTCAGCTGCTGGAGGGAGGGGCTTAAACACTGACTCAAGTTTCACATAAAAACTGAAGTGAGGATGAAAACCAATAGAAACGTCTCCGTCATGTTCTCCAGAGCTCAGTCCTCTTCTTCTTCTGTGGTGGTTTAGTGGCAGCGACAGGAGGAGCTCCACCAGCTGTTTACAGCTGTTGATTCATGATGAGGAGATCAGATTTCAATCAGGTCCTCAAAACTTTATGTAAATTAAAATTAAAATTTCTCAATATTTGGATGAAACATTTCAACAGTCACTCAGTGTGAGGCATTCAGGTTTTGAATCAGTGTGAGGTGTTCAGGTGCGTGGATCATTGTGAGGCGTTCAGGTGCATGAATCACTGAGAGGCGTTCAGGTGCGTGAACTGTTTTATTTCATGTGACAGCTCAGAGACAGGTGATGGTTCTCTGGGTCTAAGTCTGGATCAGTCCGGTCCCCCTCCTGTCCCCCTCCTGTCCTCATCACTCGGACTTCTTGTCAGTCAGTTTTTTGTAGCTCTGCAGGGGCGGAGCTGACGGCGCAACACCGTCATCGTCGTCGTCACTCATGGTGGATCGGGCTTTACGGCAGAGGTAACAGAACACGGTGGCCATGGCAAGCGGGAAGCCAACCAGGAAGCAGCCCAGCAGCGGAGCCTGGCTGAACACCGACTGACAGGTGGCGGATGAGAGGTCAGAGGTCACAGACAGACAGACAGGAAACAGGACTGATGATGACAGGACTTACCATCAGCGTGACTTTAGTCTCGTGGACAAAGCGTCTGGCACGTTGGACAACGCCGTTTCCTCCCTGACACTGAGACAGACACACCTCAGTGTTTCACACATGATCAAACCACTGTACTCGAGGTAAGTCTGCCCACACTCACCTGGATGCTGCCATCCAGAACCCCGTTCAGGAAGTTCATCAGGTGGTGCTCCGTCTCCATGGCGCCTGTTGGCAGGAAGTAGCCATCATTGGACAGATTGACCACGACGAACGATGGCACGATGACCTCACTGAGAAAAAAGAAACAGACGCTCACTGATCCATCTATGACACGTTAACAACCACAGGTGTTGACCACATCATCACATGTCACTCACCCCATCACCAGCCCGCTGATGTAGTCGCTGCCCTCCATGAAGCCGAAGTAGAAGCTTCTGAAACACAGTGAGACCTTTTATCTTGTTCTCAGAAATTTTCAGAATAAAAGTGTGAGCTATGACAGATATCTGACCTGCTGTAGATCTCTTTGTGGTCTGCAGCTACTTTCTCCACCAGACTTTTATACCTGAGCAGGTGACAGGAAACGTATAACTGGAAGTTAAGATCTAAACTGTTACAGTTTACAGTTAAACTGACAGACTCAGTTACCTCAAGCTTTCCTCACACAGGTTCCTCTCCTCCACCAGCGCTAACACCACCAGTTTACCTGCAGGAGAGAGGCGGGGTCACATCACCTGAACCAATCAGCAGTGCCTCTAACGTCCACCAGGTGCTGCTGTGGTCAAACACTGACTGCACTCCTTTTTCTTCTTCTTGTTATTTATGAATCAGGAAACTGCACCAGACTAAAGGTGATTATCATCACACTGTGAGAAGTCACCTGATCAAACATCAGCCTCAGGTGTGTGAATGTTACCTGACTCTCCCATGGCGTACAGAGTGTAGCTGTCAATCTTGAAGTAGTTTGGGAAACGTTCTCTGTTGATCCACGACTTCAGATCACCGTCATGTTCCTCTGAAACACAATACAACATATACAATAACACTCATTCATTAAAGAGAGACTGAAGGTCACTTGACCACTCACCTGAAGACTCACCTAAACCCTCACCTGACCATTCACCTTAACTCTCACCTGAACACCTGAGGAAAGGTGTGATTCTGGTCACATGTGGTCACAGATTAACTGTTTCTCAACTTTGGTCATTGACTGACACTTTAAGTCCTTTCACTGTTCACACACTGACACTTCACCTGCCGACGGTACACACACTTCGGTTCTCTTCAACACCTTTCAGTCTGCAGCCTGATGATGTCACTATAACTGGATTAACCTGCAGGTCTCAGCATTTATTCTCGTATCATATTTATTCTTTACTCATGGTTCTGACGATGTTCAGATGGGTGAAGGTCTAAACCTGTTCTCAGGTAGACCGGGGCCCTGGACCATCACTTGGTTCAGGTAACGTGTTAAAGTCTAGATCAGGTTCCTGTCTCACCGTTGTAGGTAAAGAAGGTCCCGTCTTTAAAAACCACCACAGCCGGCAGAGAGGGCAGAGACACCGCCTGCAAACAGACACACCTCAGGTCACCTGTCAGCTATGACATCATCGACAAACACAGGCTGGTCAATCTTCTCTGAACTGAAGAACACGGCGTTCTGCTGGAGAACACGGTGTTCTCCAGCAGAACGCCGTGTTCTCCAGCAGACAGCAGTAGCTCTACTGAGTAAGTGTAGAACCTTTGGCAGGATGTCCCTGGCAGCAGAGAAGAAGTAGGTGTGGACGATCAGCTGCTCAGCTGCAGATGTGTAGTTTCCCTGAAAACACATCACAGGTCAGAGGTCAGCTCTTCTGTGTGTGTGTGTGTGTGTGTGTGTGTGTGTGTGTGTGTGTGTGTGTGTGTGTGTGTGTGTGTGTGTGTGTGTGTGTGTGTGTGTGTGTGTGTGTGTGTGCATGTTTGTGGGTGTGTGTGTGTGCACCTTTAGCTGTGATGTGGCTCCAACATAAACAAACATGACATCTCGGCTGTTCATGGCGTGTTGGAAAAGCTGCAGACTGGTGAGAGTTCGAACCAGCGGCCTGAAGGACACAAGACAGACAGTCACAGTGTTCATCAACACACAGTGTGAACAACAGTCAGTGTCACGTGTGTAAAGGTTTACAGAGAACCTGATTCCTGGATCTGCAGGACATCTGTTGTTGATGTTTGTTGTATGTTGTTGTTGTTGATGTTTGTTTTTGTTGATATTGTTGTTGTTGATGTTTGTTGTTAATGTTGTTGATACACCATCAATAGTATGTGAAGGAGCCACAGTGAAGATGTCATGACCAAGACCACCATCTAATTTATTTCAGATATGTACTGAAATGAGCATGCTAACCAACTAGCCGCGTCCCGGACCGTGTTGTAATACCACCTCGACACACTAGATGCTGTGTGAGTCAGTGTCACGTCTAGTCTGCCCTCAGTCCCACGAAGAAGAAGAGCTTCCTCCAGAGCTTCAAGTTACGATACAGCTCCGACCCAAAAAAAATTCGCTGCCGATGAGCGTCACAGAAACGCAGAGATGGCTGAAGGGCCTAGAAAGCGAACTTTATCTCCATCCTGAAGAACCGCTCCGACAGGAAACCACGTTCAACGGCAAAGAAGCAAACACACGGGTTAATGACGGTGTGTTTCTCCACCGCGGGAGACAGCTCCAGGTAAAGAGATGAGACTTCTTTTAGACAGGTGAGTAACATCTAAACTTGGTCTGTAGTGAAAAGTATCATTAGTGCCAATGACAAACCGTACTGACAAACACTTCACGAGCATACATGTATGACGTTGACGTTTTAGCGATGTAGTAGAATTCAGCCTGTTCCTGCAGCTGTTGTCCAGCTGATGCGTCACTAACTTTTCTTTTACAAGACAAAGAGACAGTTTGATCCAGAACCAGCAGGTTCAGGATCCACTGCCTAATACTGTATTTATTTTAGCATATTCATATCTATCCTGACTATTCATTTATTATTATTCCTTATTATTATTTACACAACAGACCTGACATGTTTGAATATAAAGAACTTGTACGACCTAAACTAATTATCCTATCACGTTTGTCTGTATCAGGACCAGAAGTCCAGTCCAGTCCTCCCCAGTGATGGAGCAGCACCTGCCTTTTCTTTTGCATCTGGCCTCATCAACCATCAACCCCGTACATCAACACCTTGAGGTATGATCCCTGCACAGAACCCATATCTTCTATGCTGTGATCTTCTGCACATCCTGCTCAGCCGGAGTTTTGTCAACACTTTTGTACATAATTTTTTTCAGTTTTATTTTTTTGAATATGTGTATCTATGTATATTTATCTTCTTGACTGTTGCAGTATTTTACTTTTTTATTGTTATTTCCTGTTAATATGTTTATTGGATACAGCACCAAACACCAAGCCAAATATCTTGTCAGTAAAAACCTACCTGGCAATAAACCTTATTACTGTTTCTGCCTTTGTGATGATGTCATCATCCCTTCCTCATGCTGCTGTAGCCTGACACCCATGTGTCCTGCAGTATCCCCTTGCCTCCATATTTTTATAGGTAAATAAAAACATAATGTTTGTACTACAAGTACTCATAATTTGTTTCAGTGCCATCAACAATTTTAACTATCAACAATAAATGCACATCTAAATGATAAATTACAAGGAACAAGAGGAAAACAACAACAAGATTAACTGGACAGGGGTGAAGAGGTGAACTGCTGCCACCTATGGAGGTGGGTCAAGTAGCACGATCTTATACATTATACCTTTAATGTTATTGTTAATGTTGTTGATGTTGTTGTTGTTGTTGTTGTTGTTGTTGATGTTGATGTTGTGTAGGTGGTTCTCACCCTCCAACTCGATGAGCAAAGTCCATGATTCCATCTTTGGTTCTCGGTCCTGAATAATTATATTTCACACCTTTCTTCAACCTGAGAACAGAGAACAGCTGTTTAAACATCTGTACAAGCAGCAGTTCACTTTACCATCAGTCATTCAATCCACAATCCAGATGTGTTCAGACTCTGATTAGTCTTCTTTATGTGGAGGCCACCAGACTCTGGATCTGATTGGTTGATGTGCAGTGATGTCACAGTCAGGACTTACATGAGGATGGATGGATAACCTCTGACCTTGAACTCTTTGGCCAAACCTGCAGAAAACAACATAAAACACAACATCAGCTGTGACCTCTGACCGCTGAGGTCTGACCTCTGTGGTCCGACATCTCAGCTCTGACCTTTGACCTGTTTGTGTTAACTGTTGACACACAGATTTATACCGACCAACAGTCTCTGGTTCTGGTTTAAGCTTTCACACATGAACAAATGTGACGGCAGGAAGTCAGTGCTCAGGTGACTATCACACACCTGGATCATCATATACACTCACCTGAGCAGCAGCTGGATTCATTCATTCTGTATTTATTAAAGAACAAGACTGGACCTCATACAGAAACATACTGTGGTTCTCCACATTCTTTGGGATTGTGACACACAGAAGTCCATCTAACCGGTGTGGGTCATACTGTTAGACCTCTATTTTGATAGTGAGACTGACCAGTGTTGGCGGTGGCGTCTGATTTGCCGACATTGACCGGGGAACCGAGACTCTTCAGTTCTGATCCGATCTGATGCCAAACAGGATCCAGCTGTTTACAGAAGGTACACCAGGGGGCGTAGAACTGCACGAGATACAACACACACCATCACGCACTACACAATAAACACAATACACACACTACAGACACTACACACACACACAGTACATGCTAGAGTTGTCAAAAAGTCAATACTCAGATACTAATCGATACTAAAATTAGTATCGGATCAGATACTCATTAGCAACAGCATCGATATAACAGTTCTGTCTTCCCCTCCTCCAGTTGACACAAAGCTTCATACAGCAGCACTGCAGACAGACAGGCACACAGCCCCTCCCCCCACCAGCAGCTGAACACATGAACATTAGCTGACGTTCACAACACTGAGCTGGTGTCTCCAGCATAAAGCTAAATTAACATGGCGAGTGCTGCTGCTGAAGAACCTTCACAACCTCTTTTAGTTGACAATGAAAAAAGCAAAAGTGCCGTTTGGAATTATTTTGTATTATTATTTTTACCTGGCCGGCGGCACATGTTAACGTTAGCCGTTTAACTATTAGCAATTAGCCGATAGCCACATTAAGCGCCTGTTAAGTTATCATTAAGCTAGTGGCTAGTGGCTATGGCTAATAATAAAATGACTAACGTTAATGTGGGAGCTAGGCAGTAAACGTTATCAGTCCTGCCCGTCTGTAACGTTACTAGTTAATTTAACAGGATAACACAATTATTTGTGTCTGAAAAGTGTTATATTTCTCTTAAAGTCAAAGACTGAAGCTGAGAAAAGTCGACCAGCAGTTCGACAGAAACAGCGGCAGCCTCTCCTCCCAACTCTGTTTGATCAGCAACGAAAATATGGTGCCAAGTCACAGTAGCTGAATACATTTGCGTGTCATATATATATATATATTATTTTTTTGCACTACCTCAGACAATGTAAAAGTAGTGTTGTCATTGATGTTATTGTTTGTATTGTTCTAATCTTTATTTAAAAAAGGGTTAGGGTCATTTTTTTCTCCCCATGGTATCAAAAATGGTATCGAGTATCAAGTATTTTCCTGGGAAATTATAGTATTGTGACAACCCTACTACACACACACACACACACACACACACTACACAGTTCTAACAGTAGAATGATAATGACTCTTTACACCTGTATCACTGTTATCATGGTTATAACAACCAGTCTATATACAGTGTATACACCCCCCTTCTATATTAATAAAACTGGACTGAATTGAATATAAAGAGTTTATTACAATAACAATCATAATTAAATAATGACACATACTTTAATGAGCCAGATGTCATCAGCTCCTCTGGTTTCCATGAAGCTGTTCAACACAATCACACTAATTATTTACTCATCAAAATAAAAGCTGCTGTGTGATAATTTAAAAGAAGCAGGAAACAACAAAACTTCAGAATAAAATGAAAAGATGAGAAAGCAGCAGCCATACGGAGGCTCAGAGGGGACAAAACAGAACAGCTGTAGTTTTATTAACACCTTAACACATCCAGTCAGTGGCTGCTCTGGAGCTTTTGATCACATCACATGAACCTCATCCACAGAAGAAAACATTAACATTCAAACATCTACAACTCAGTGACAGGAATCGTGATTCAGTCAAAAGCTCCGGAACAGCTACTAAATGGACCTGGACTGAATGTTTATAAATGATTTAATAAAGTTGAAGTGACGACTGAAAACAGGATGTTTGTACTCACGAGTCATCCAGCTCATCCACGAAGGCCGACACCAGCGACACACACAGCAGCACTGACAACACACACACACACACACACAAAGATGGCGGACAGCAAACATAATTAATTCTGTTAAAGACATGCAGACATGGAGACATTGAGGTCTGAATGAGGTCTGAACCCTCTGCTGTACAACAGCTGATTGTGTTTACATCAGCTGACTCTCATGTCTGTTTCTTACAGGAAGTCATTAACATGAACCTCATTAACCCTTCATTTCCTGCAGGTTATCGAGTCTCTGCAGAATCACAGTAAAGACGGAAGAGAGTAAAGAGTTTGGTGAAGACATACCTGAGAGACGGACTCTGTTCCTCGTGTCCAACATGTTGACTGATGGAGGAGATTAACAGACAGAGCTTATCTGCTAACAGACGCACTGCTAATCTGATTAACAGGTTACATTCAATCCACTGAAGCTTTATTGACAGCAGCTTTACATTAGCAACAGTCTACTGAGATTGTACAACAATATACAACAACATGAAACGGTGACGTCAGCAGAACACCCACGTTAATCAAATTTAGCAGCTGACTGACCAACAGGTGATTACAACTCCTGAGATGGAGGAAGGAAAGGATGGAAGGAGGGAAGGAATAAAAAAGGGAAAGAGAGGAAACAAGGCAGCATCGAAAGAAGGATGTGAAGAAGGAATGTAGGAGGTGAAGGAGGACAGGATGGAAGGATGTAGGAAGGATGTAAGAAGGAGATAAGAAAGGAAATGAGAAGGTGGGAGAGGACGGAAGAAGGCATAAATAAATCAAACTAAAGTTAATGAAACGTGAACCTCCATTAAAACCTGATCCAGCTGATCATTATCAGTCAGCTGCTAACAATGCTGACCAATCTATAATCAATAAAGTCAACAGAGGCTTCATCAGTCAGGATCATTTCAGTTTCTCTTCAACGACCAAACAACACTAACATGTAACCATGACGACGCTTCACTTTCTTCTTTGTGTTTTTCTAGGTCAGGTGTCACGGAGGAAGCAGCAGAGGATTCCCCTCTGTCACAGCACCCCCGTCAGGTGAGTCCCGGTCAGGTGAGTCCGTGTGGGCTGCTGCTGTTTTCTGTGGGCTGTGCTGGCTGAGCAGGGCGGAGCTGCTGGGGCTACTGGTCTTGGTGTTGGAGGGGTCAGCAGCTACATCTATAAACACGTGTCGGGTGGAGGCCGTTGATCCGTCAGCTTCACTCTCCGTCCAGCAGGACTCGCTGTCAGACACCGACGACAGCCGGCTCTTACCCCAGCGGCCATTAGTCCGCGCGCCGGCGCTGAGCCGGACTCCCGCCGAGCCCTGCTCGGTGAGCGTGGCCCGGGGAGATGAGGCGCCACTCGAGCTGAAGGAGGAGCGCAGGTCCTTCTCCTGCAGCCGCAGCACGGAGCGCAGCAGCGGGACATAGCGGCCGATGGCAGCTCGGTACTTTGGGTGTGTGATGGCGTAGATGATGGGGTTGTGGATAGCGGAGGCCTTGGCGATGACTGCAGGGACTGAGTTCATGTATGGAGTCAGCAGGTGGGCGTAGCCGGCAGTGGCGGTCAGAGCGACCGCAGAGTACGGAGACCAGGACAGCACGAACAGCAGGATCACTCCCAGAGCCACCTTCGCCATCCGCCACTCGCTGCGCAGACGCTCGTGCGCCTTGTTGGTCTCTCCGCAGCTGAGCCGCTTCATCTCCCGCCCCGCCCGCCGCACCACCTGGAAGATGGCGAAGTAGCACCCGGCAATGAGGGCGAGTGGAATGAAGAAGACGAAGGCGAACAACAGGATGGTGTAGGTGCGCACGGTAGCCGTGAAGCTCATGTAGTCCCAGCTGCACGACGTCTGCAGGCCCTCAGGGACGTAGGCGCTCCACCCGAAGAACGGCGGCAGACTCCAGCCCAGAGAGTACAACCACACAGCCGCTAGCACCGCCAACACCCGCTGCCGACTCACCCCGCCTAGCAGGGCCAGAGGCCGTGTGATGGTGATGCAGCGGTCCATCGCGATGGCGGTCAGCGTCATCATGGAGGTGATGCCGAACAGAGCGCCGCAGAAGGCGTACAGCTCGCAGGCGAGCTCCCCGAACACCCAGCGATGGTGGAGACTGGCCACGAAGAAGACCGGAGATTGCGTCAGAGACATTAGGAAGTCGGCGACCGCCAGGTTGACCACCAGCAGGTTACTGGGCGATTGCAGCGTCCGACTGCGACAGAACACGTAGATGACCAGAGTGTTTCCCAGCATGCCTGTCACCCCCACCAACAGGATGACAGAGCCAATAATGTAGTGGGCGTGGTCAGGCACATCCACGGTGGGAAACAGGTGAGGCTGCAGGTGGGATTGGTGTGTGGGGGTGTGGCCAGGCAGATGGAGCAGCTTCGACGTTCTGACATGGTGATGGCGGTTGGTCTGGAGGAAGGAGCAGTTTTCTCCCACAGAGCAGAGAGAGGAGGGGCTGGTGGGCTGGTGATGACTCATTGCTGCAGCTGGATGTTGGCTGGAGGTCGGCTGGAGGACGGCAGGATGTCGGCTGGAGGTTGGCAAGATGACGGCTGGAGGTCGGCTGGATGTCGGCTGAATGTCGGGCAACAGGCGGCAGGATGACGGCTGGAGGTTGGCAAGATGACGGCTGGAGGTTGGCTGGAGGACGGCAGGATGTCGGCTGGAGGTTGGCAAGATGACGGCTGGAGGTCGGCTGAATGTTGGCTGGAGGACGGCAGGATGACGGCTGGAGGTTGGCTGGATGTTGGCTGTTCTGTGAATCATCTCTCTGTGGACTCAGGTGTCCGTCTGCAGCTCTTTATGTCCTGATGGTCTGACCGATGATGATGGAGGATCATTGATTGGACCTCAGACTGATCCATTAACTGTCTGCATTTAGAGGATAAATCAACATCTGGACCAGATGTGACCCAATTGTTGCAGTTTAATGTGGATCATCATTAACACCCTGAAGTTAATGAGCTTTTAACTTTAGTGAAAACAGGGTCAGACTTCGTCACAGTTTCTAGTGACGTCCTCGAGATAAATTGAACTGTTATGTCAGCGTGATGACTTTAATAAAACATGTTTCCAACATTGACGGTCTGAATGTCAAACTTCTTCTGTTTCCTTGTAACAACACAGAAGAAAGTTTCAATGATAATGAATATTTTTAAATGAATCTCAGTCAGTTTTCAGTCATTAAGATTTCTGAAGCTCATTAAAGGAGACTCACTTTAATTAGTTCTTTGCATGATCTCTCCATAATTAGAACCATAAAGCGAAACCGAAGAGGTTCTGTGATCTGTGATATCTCAGCTGGAAAATGCAAAAATTCAACAGGAAAAGAAATAAAGAGAAAAACTTCCTAGGCAGAAAAATGAATGAGTTTTCATTTTGACAATACAGAGAAAAATCGTGTCACTGAATGCAGCTGATCAGGGTTTAAACCGTTCATTAGGTAACTAATATTTACAACAGCTGATTTTCGTATTGAGTTCTGATTGGAAACTGACATAATAAACAACCTATATTATGAAGCTCAGACAGCTAAGCTAACAGTTTTCATCAATGTTTCTGCTAAGCTAGGCTTATAGTTACTGCTTCCAGTCTTTGTGCTTAGCTAGGCTAACAGTCCTGGACTCGGACTCACTGTTGAAATGTGGGGCAGCAGATATTGACTCCTCTGTGACCTTGATCACAAACAACATTTTACTCCCCCAAAATGCACCAGGAGTCCATCAACCTCAAGAGCTTTGCATCCCATCGATGCGTCAGTCAATTGGTCGATCAGCAGGAGGGTGGGAGGAGCCTCCCTCCCTCCCTCCTTGTCTCTGAGGCTTGTGTTTGTATTCAGTTAGTCTTAGTCCAGGATGTCAGTCTCCTGTGTCCAGGTGAGCAACAGGTGAGATGTCAGGTGGTGGGGGAAAGGCAGGGGGGCGGAGCCAATCTGCGTTTCAAGCTCCACCGCTTCACCAGCCTGCCCATTGTCCCTGTGAAACCACAAAGAAGATGAGGAGAGACGGACGGCAGAGCTGCAGACAGACGGCAGGGACAGCACTCACTCTGAGAGACAGACAGACAACAGTCAGGCAACAGACAGCCAGACAACAGACAGACACAGTCAGACAACAGACAGCCAGACAACAGACAGACAACAGTCAGACAACAGACAGCCAGACAACAGTCAGACAACAGACAGACAGACAACAGTCAGGCAACAGACAGCCAGACAACAGACAGACACAGTCAGACAACAGACAGCCAGACAACAGACAGACACAGTCAGACAACAGACAGCCAGACAACAGTCAGACAACAGACAGACACAGTCAGACAACAGACAGCCAGACAACAG